AAAAAAATATTTACAATGTATTCAAGAAGGTATATTTCTTATTATTTATGGTAAATTATGTTATTTATCAATTTTATTTCAAAAATAGAGTACAGTAGATATCATGACTACTAATAAAATATTATTGAGATTATTTTTATAGGGTTTATTTCAGTCTCAAATAGGTGTACCGTATAAGGTACAGTAGGTCTATGCATGAGCAAATCATACGAGAAAATATAATTGATTTTTTATTACTTTTTTTGTTTGGCTATTGATGCTTCACTATATTGCCACAACTCATAAAAAATTTGACAATTTCAGCAAACATAAAGCAATTTTGGTATTTTTCTACTACTGTCTTGTCAGATGACCGCTAATGATGATCAGACTGACGAAGATTCAGGCGATAAAGATAGTGTCAATGTAAATAATTACCCTCAGAGGTTTTTTCGATGGATTTGCTGAACTTCCATCGTCGTGTTGCTAAATGCGATTATAAATAGCACTAAACGTAAAAAGTCAGAAGAAGCCAGGTTTTCTTCAGCTATCCTCACTAACTTCGAAAAAAGAACCAAACGTGGCTAAGTATCACAGAAAACGTCTTACAAGATATGCCAAGTATGATACTGGTGATTATGTGATTTTATTTTTAATTTATATCATACAAAAATAAATAAAAACTTTGTTTGAACAACGAGTATATTTTGCATGCTTATAGACCTACTGTACCCTATATGGTACGGGCTCCCCACGGCCCCCTAGTTGTGGATTATTTTTTTAAATATTTTTTTCATGATTTTTATGCTTCCCTTTGAAAGTTTTTGCTGAAAAATCAAATTTTATTTACAAAAATAATTATCGGTCTAAATGGGTTAATGCTACGTAGGTTTTATCAAGTTGTTGATGAATAAAATTGTTGTTATTGAACTGAATTCATATATGCAAAATACTTACAAGAATGAGAAGAAAACAACTGCTTTNACATTTTTTATCCACAACGAGGAAGCTCTTGCCTTTCATCTGACCTGATGGAAAGTTGGAAACTGCTGGATGATCAGCGAGCTTCACCCGGAATCCTAAACCACAGAGGAATTGGCTGTCCTAAATAGGTAGTCTTACCACTAGACCACAGTGGTGATTGTTACTTTGCGATTAAATTTGATATACCTACCTATGAGAGTGTGAAAGGAAAGAGAAAGAGTTTGTGTGTGTGTGTGTGTCTGTGTGTGTGTGTGTGAGTGTGTGTGTGCGCGCGCGTGTGTGTGTGCGTGTGTCTGTGTGTCTGTGTGAGAGAGAGAGAGATAGAGCAAAAAAGGGTGTAATGATTTAATTTAAAGTAAATGTTCAAAATGTCCGTCGCTGACCTGAATGCACATTCGACAACGACGCAAAACAATTATTCGTAAATTTACAAAAGCTTCTTGCATTCTAATATGGTTTATCATCATTCTAATATGGTGGATAAAAAAAATGTTTTCAGTTTTTGTCTCTAAATGTGTTATACATATCGTAAACTTAGGGGATTGCAAATATTACTTAGTCCTAAGAAAGTCAAAAACATGTAACGGAATCTCCGACTTACCACTTTAGTGGAGCGATTACAGAAAATAATGGCCTATTAAGTACATGTTTTTTTTGCTTATTTATTGCCATTAAGGCGGAACAAAGTTCGCCGGGTCAGCTAGTTTTATTATAGTTTCTAATTCACAAAATTGTTTTTAGCGGAGTGCTTGGCTCAGGTTTGTGTGTATTTTCCAAATGGGTGATTCAAGATGTGTTCTTTCATCAATGGCCTCTAAATGGCTACATCCACAAGATACACCATGGAGATTGGTTTGGGGGCAAAGGAGTTGGACTTTGTCGTATCAAATGTGGTGATAGACTTATTAATATCTATTGTACACATGTGAGTACCTGATTGTAAGAGCGCTTTCACATTAGGGCGTTAGTAGCGCGACTGCAGCGCGGCAGCGGCGTTTTATAATGTGAAGGCATGCATCCGCTGTCACATAGTATGAAATTTTCGGCAGCGCGTCTGTCGCACTGCTAAATCGCCTAAATGTGAAAGCGCTCTAAGAGTATATTTTATAGTAGGTACAATGTTTGCAATATTTTTAATCACTTTTATCTATTTAATTACAGTTACATGCTGAATATCATGAAGATGACATGTATTTAGCACACAGAGTACTGCAAGCTTACTCCACTGCTGAGCTTGTAAACCTGAGCAAATCACCAGCTGATGTTTCCATTCTAGCAGGAGATCTCAATACTGGTCCTGATGATCTATCTTATAGGTAACAACCACTTGATACAAATAAATATGTAGTATTTGCTATCATGACACCTAACTACAGCTACTTTGATGTTCTATTCCAGGATAATTTCCCAGCTTCCATCATTAGTAGATCCTTTTGATTTAGAATGTGAAGGAAGTGACCCAAAGGTCAGGAAACCCTCAGGCACTTGTGACAACGCAAACAACAGCTATACTGCTAAGAAGCTGGCTGAAGCCTCACCAGAAGGAAAAAGAATTGACCACATACTGTTTCATGTTAGCCCTTCTTGGGAGGTAAGATATTGAACAATTATTTAACTATTTCCGCCCGCGGCTTCGCCCGCGTGTGCCGCGCGTCCCTGTATCAAAAACCGGGATAAAAACTATCCTATGTTCTTTCCCGGGACTCAAACTATCACTATGCCAAATTTCATCAAAATCGGTTGCGAGGTTTAAGCGGGAAAGCGTAACAGACAGACAGACAGAGTTACTTTCGCATTTATAATATTAGTTGGGATTAAGGAAAAGAGTATTTTGTTTGTTAAAATCATGTAAATACCCAATTGTTTTTCCTTAAGTGCATTATTTAGTCTTAATATTTTGCTCAATTATTTTTATTTTTCATGTTATCTTAGTTCCCAAAGTTATTTCTGTCTGAGAACTCCTCAAATGTACAATTAATTTCTACTATAATATTAGTCACAATGTAAGTTTTTTCATTTATTATTTTATATTTCCAGGCTGAGGTGGTGAATTTTGGGAACCCCTTAGAAGACAGAGTTCCTGATCAACCATTTTCTTATTCTGATCACAATGCTGTCTCATTGGAACTTAAACTCAAACCAACCAGTCCAAAAACTAAACAAAGACAATTCAGTAAAGAAATTTCATTTGATGTTACCATTGGTCAAGCTATTAAAGTTTGTGAAGATGCTATGGACACCATATTAAAATCTAGAAAGCTGTACTTAACTTCAGGAGGCTTGCTTTTCATGTTCCTGTTAGGCACTGTTGGTTTCTGGCCCAATAAATTCATATATGACGTCATAAAAATAATACTGACGGGATTTTGCTTCTATAACATACTGATGGGCACACTGTGGAACAAGATTGAAATGAACAGCTTAAAAGCTGGCCTGAATGCTCTTAAAAATTTTAAGAAAACAAGAAGTGAAATAAAAGCTATGGAATGCGCTGAAAATGATAAGAAGTAAAATGATTTGTCTATTCAGATGTTTTAAAAGAAAATGGTTCTAACTAGAAGTAATTCCTCTTGAAAATTCCAACTACCTTTAAAAAGCTTCAGACTCAATGGATTCAGATTAGAATGCACAATGGAGTGGCAAGTAGGTCTAACAAAGCCACGTAATATGCCCCTCACTGCCCTGACGCATACGTACGGAACAAAGGACCACTGATTTTTAAACACTTAAGTACACACTGATGACACCACATCACGATATTAGTGCCGTTAATGCTTACAGTGCCTTGATGTTATATTATAGTAACAAAGAGCAAAGAACTGATTACTGAAGTATTTAGAAAATACGCAAACTTTGTGAAACGTACCTATTTCTTAGCAGTTTGCATGTAACATATCTGTGTTAACTTAAAAATGTAGGACAATATATTATAGCCCAATGTAACACGTGATAATGCTCAAGAGAATGTAATATTATTATTATGATGAATGTTTGTTAAAGTAATATGTAAATTCGTCATAATCAGCTCAGTATTGAGCTACTAGCTTATTAAATGTTATGTATTTTGATACTGCTTAACAGAATTAAGATACTTTATACATATTAAACAGTATTCGTACTTATTCTCGCATAGGTACTTATATGTTAAACTTTTACGTAATCAGATATTGAAGTTTAGTTACCAATTAACTAAGATTGACATTTGAATATTTAATTGATGTTCCTATTTATTTACTATACTAAACCTAAACGGTATATACTTTGAAACACATTCCACTGCCTTTGGAACAATTGGTATTAATTAGCAATGTAAATTTATTTTGAAATACAGTTATTTTTTTATAAGTAGGCCCAATCTGTAATTTAAGTACGTACTAATTTTAGTTTATTATTTAAGAGTATTATCAATCTAAAGATAGGTACAATAATATCGTAAAATTGTGATAATTAAACCAATTATAATATACATTGTTTTATGTATGCTTTGAATTCAATAAATTATAAAATTGTAAATATAATGTATTATTTACTACGATGCCGCGACGATTTAGCGCCATCTTATCCTATGCTTGAAATATCCGTGCCTTTCACCGACAAATAGCTATACACAAATACATTTATTACACTTGTTGAATGATAAGTTGATAACGGTGCGGCAATAGCGCAATAGATTGAAATCATATCTGATTTTATGGCAGTTGTTAAGTTAACCAAGCTTAGATTGGTCGAATTTTGCTAGCTACTCTTTTATAACAGGCTAAACTCCCATTGCTTTTTTCACTTAAGTTGTAATTCAAAATTGAATGATGTCCTAAGCTTTTAAAATATGACATAAAACAATGAAAGTAATATTTTAATAAAGAATATCTTTATTTCTAAACTTTAACAAATATTTACAATTACCACCACAGCAGCCGTGTAATATCACAATTTATGTTAACAATACATAACATTAAACCTAAGTAGATAAAAATAAACATAAGAAATGAAGATTCAACTTTTAAGATAAAATATTAGAGATTTTTTTGTATTCATAATTTGATCTTGTATAATTTTATACTAGCACTCTTGTTACTTTGGTAGAAATAAAATTGAACAAGGGAATGTACTTTATAAATATTTACATCTTAGTAACTAAATATTGCATATTTTATAAAACATATCTGTGATGATTATTATCAGTTCATAATACACACAAAGCGATTATTAGATTCAGTGATGTGTTTTTGTTTGCGTTTCACGCTTTAGGGTCGTGTGTGATCGATTCTCGATCATCGGCAGTGCTGATAAGTGGGTCAGTTTCGGAGGAGCCGGTGAGAGTGTTTTCGATAGACCCATAAGTGGTGGGTCTCACTTCGACCGGTGGAAGTTCAGGTTCCAATGTCAGATTGGGTACAGAACTTGACGACGTAGGTTCGCTCACCAACCTTGAGCTTTCGTCACAACCTCTTGTCATGTGGTACATAGATTTTCCTCTGAGCCTTCTGCTAAATGAACTCCCTGTAATGAAAGATTAAATGTCTAAAATCTTCCAAAGAATCTGACACACAAATTGTGATTGATATTTTTTGTCTCAGCACTGGTCTATCATTTAACAGTAATGACCTAATTACTGCGAATAAATATTTATTAATAAAATAATTCATTGGGAGTTCTGTTGCTCCATTTTGCTACATAGAAAGTGTCTGGAAAACATAACAGTGATTGAATCTACTCTTGAAGGTAGATGAATTTTACTAGAGTTTCTATTCATAATACTGGCTTAAGACTAAATACAACTTTAAAAGTGTTTTTGTAGATACACACCAACTACTCCAAGATGTTCAGATATGTCTCTTTTGACGTCAGAGACATCCCACATGGCCAGAAAAGAGCCAAGACAAGAGGGTGACGGATTCTCAGGTGAAACATAAGGTTTGTATGAGAAGCTATAATGATGAGCAATTGCTGCCAGGAACATTTCTATGCAAATCAAGAAATCCTGAAAAATATAACAATGGTTACTATAGTTAAGAAACAAAGACTCAGTAATATACTTCAAGTAGTTATTATGAATAAGTGAAAAGAACTAAAACATTATCTTAATCACTACATATTTAATTATAAACATGCCTCTTAATTAATAGATTTACCTCAATGATATAATAGAACTATAGATATGTTACGTTCATAGAAATTACGATTTTAATCCGTGCCGAGCTATTCCAAATTGCACACATTGACAAATGTAACTGATAAGTGAAACAAAAGATACGAAATAGCACGCAAATGAAAGAGATATCTATAGTTTTAACGATTCTGCTCTAACTAATCTATGTCCGCAGCGCACGCATCCTTATCGCTCTAACGTCAAAACAAGATCGCTTTCTCTNGTAGGTTTTATCAAGTTGTTGATGAATAAAATTGTTGTTATTGAACTGAATTCATATATGCAAAATACTTACAAGAATGAGAAGAAAACAACTGCTTTGATGCATAAAAACTTTCCAATGGGCTTCATAGGCTTTAGCTCTGCCCTGTTGGCTCTGTAGAACAGAACCAAGCAATACATGGCTACAAACTGCGAAAGATTGTTAATCGCAACCATGTACGGGAACGCCACTTTAGGACTGAAGTCACTTTCTCCGTACACACCAGCCAATTCACATATCATTGATATCACTGTAGTAATTGGTCTAACCAATGTATATTGAAGAATTCCATGTTTGCAGTTATGAACAAACTCTCTGAAAACAAAATAATGAATGATTATTATTTAAAAAACTATCATGTAAAAAGGAAGTTTGCAAGTTACTGATAAGTCGGGGGAATATATCCATATACATACACACACACATAAATACTGCACACAGTCATATATAGGAATATATCCTAAAATGGAAATGCAAGTTTTACATTGTGACTCTAATAACTTACCTTCCCATTTCCCACGGAGTTAAACAACATAAAGGAAAGATGTGGTAAACTTGAGGTTTGACCTCCAACAAGGCCTCCAGATCATGACCGTCATTCAAGTAGTTGAGGAGGTACTTCATAAAATTATAAATGACGTAAGCTTCGTAACACTCTCTGAGTGAATCTACATAAATAGATTGTTCAGGAAACTGCAGTCCAATCCAAGCATTCAGTGCGTAAATTGGCACCATCCATAGGACCCTGAAAGTAGATTCAAATGTTAGATTGTTATTTCTTATTGACAAGACCAACTCTGATAAAGTGTTTGATTACACAATCATATGCAACAAACAAATTGATAAAATTTTATTGATTCCAAAGCTCTTATCTAGTTGTTGTTATATAAAGCTAAAGGAAAATTAGTTTAAGGTGGTATCACACCTCAACTCTTTACGGAGGTTCAACTACCAAGTGGCTAAATACTAATGGTCTTATCATTACAATATACATATTTTTTGACCAGGTAGGACATTAGAACTAGATAAATGGTCACCCGTCCACTGGAAAACTATAGTTAGAGGAATTTTTGATAACCATGACAAACTAAGCTTCCTGTAATATGTAAAAATAATGCAATATTCATAACTGATAAGATTAAGTGGACCAACCTGATAATGTGCTTCTGCAGTGATGGTTTGGTATAATGGACAATATGTTGAGTTATTTGCCATATGGATATAGGCAAAGCAAGTAGAACAAACCCTCCGCCTATGAGCGCTGCCTCTTCTTTTTCATTAAATCCATTGTTTATTGACCGAACTATAAGAACAGGTACTAATACGATAATAAGAATTAAGTAAATTGCAATTAAGAATGGCCTAATCCATAAGCGCCACTGACTAAAAAACGTTAACACAGAAGGGGAACACATAATTTCAATATTCTTGAGTTGAATTCGAAAACACAGTCACTTTATGGCATTATTTTGATACTTTTAGTACTCTCCTTTTATTGCTGCAAATAACCTATCATGACCTTATTCAATTTTTTTCTTTATCAGGTTATTAGATTAACCAGTTTACTGACTGACAGAGGAATAAATTAATTAAATAAGTATCGAAAACACAAAAGACTGACATCAAGGAAAAACGAGACATTTGTAATAAAATGACGTTTGATGTTTTGTCAACATTTGTCAACAAAGGTGTCACTCAAAGATAACATAACTATGGAGACTGTGGTAGACAGACACAGTCGTGTCATGGTGACAGACAAGTGAGTGAGTGCTTTGTGTCTCACTTGCAGACATAATTTATCAAGAGCGAGGTAAGCTAGCGCGAGCGTATCGGGTTCGGGATACTGCATTTGCTCGAAAGACACAAACGCGAAAATCCATTTGCGCGCATGGACACTTGTGTGAAAAGACACGAGCTGCACGAGCGCGAGACACTAGCGCAAAAGACATTAGACATTTGCATGCATAGACAAGACAAGAGCGCGAATCAGCGCGAATGGACGTTTGCGCGAAAAGACCTGCCCCCCTAGACAAAACGCACTTTTTGATCGAATCGAAAATCGAATCCGTCAAATTCCATACAAAAAAGGGGCTTTTCGACCACTTTTCGACTGGTTTGCGATTATAATGGCACTTTGTCTAGACCCAATGAGCACGATAGACATTGGCGCGAAAACAGTTTTCTTGAGTATTTGTCTTCTCAGTCTGTAGCATTATTAGCTCCTGAATAACTGAAGCGATCTTGATTTTCTTTTCTCACTTTTATCTCGAAAACGGTACATTCTAGCACAAAAATGACATCAAATTCGCTCCCCTCTTAATCCCCACCTCCTACTCAAAGACTAATTTTTATGCTTCCATTCGTACCTTCTGGAACAGGCTAACTCAAAAACTACATGAAAACAAAAAATCAAATTTTTCGCATTTTTTTAGATTTTTCCATACCAAAAAGTTTTCGTGCTTATGTCTTTCACGCCAGTGTCTTTCGCGTAAACATCCATTCGCGCTCACGTCTTTTCGCGCAAGTGTCCCTGCGCGCAAACGTCTTTCGCGCTTGAGTCCATTCGCGCAAGTGTCCATGCGCGCAAAAGGCTTATCGGCCTTTTCGCGCTTGTGTCTTTAGTGAAAAAATAAGGTGCTCGGACTTTTCATGGAAAAGTCCGTTGTTCCGTCTTTGTTTGCGCGTGATCTTTACCGCGATCAGCTGGAAGGAGAACGGAGTGTTACTCGAGTGTAAACTAGAGCTGAAACGCGAATGAATTGGAAACATTACAAATTAGCGCAATATCGGGGCGCAGGGGCCTGTGCCTTTTCGAAATTACAACTGTCACGTTCTGCCACTTGTCTAGGCCGGAATATTCCCAAGAATTTTTCCGTTCATGGCGCAAAGAACAAAAGGTGAATCGATCTCACTTCCAAAATGATTTGGGAATTCCTAATTTACTAAAATAAGAAGAAAATCCTTTGAATAGTCGTGAATAGCAGTAAACAGCTGATACAACACTGCGTTATAGTCATTTTATTGTTTTTGGTCACGTATCCGAACACTTCCTGAGATAGATTTATGATTTTCCAGCAAGTGTGACAGAGATGAAAAATGTAAGTAATGTGACGAATTTGCAGTTGTGTGTTGCTAGGAAAAAAATATTATCTAGAAAAAAATCTTCACAGGTGTGTGGTTTTTATCAAAATGGGTTTGGTCAAAAGTTCATAATTTTTGTAAAATCGATTATTTAGTTCTATTACCATGTGATTCTACAATTAAAACCTCAAACAAGACAAACGGAACCCGGTATTCTTAATTTTGTGCATTTACAGTTAGACGCGTAACACGTATTTTGTGCATCGAGTTTAGCATTGAATTAGGCCACATAGCGATCTCTCCCTAAAATACCGCTGTTCTGGCTGTCGACGTATCAAGCTAACGTGAGTTTGTAATTTATTTGTGTTTTTCATAAAACGTAGTGTATGATTTGTGCGAGGTAGGTTAAGCATCTGTTATTTATAGATAACGATTAAAAATAGTGTATCGCAAGTCGATAATTTGTATGTTTTCGTAAATGGGTCAACTCGCCATTCCGCAGAGTACCTAATAGTTAAGTGATTATTACATGGCTGATGGACATGTATATCCTCTGTATACGTTACATTTAGGTTGAGTTGTAGTATCGTTTTATGTATTAGTGTTTTGTTTTCGTGTTATTTAGAGGCGGGAGAGTGATGATCAGAAAGAGCGCGACCTGGTAATGTGATGTCATCAAAAGGGGAAACAGAGGCCGACTCTGGCACCGTGTCGCCAAATCTGCCAGTAGTCAAAAATGAACCGGTAAATATTATCAAAGATTGCTTATTTTTATTTGATTTAATCCTGCATACCAATACACTTTTGACCTTACTGCAGAAAAGAGATGTTATTAGAGGCATAGGCTTACCTAATTCATTTTTGTATTCATTTGTGTAATCAGATTATAATTCAATGTACAAAACATCATGTTACAAAGTATAAAAATGACTTAGTGGTGTTAGTGTTGACAAAATACTAATACTGTAGTTAGTGAATATTAAAACTAATTACCTATTTCACAGTTATATTAGATAAGTTATAGTTTGCTAGCAATGTAATAATAATTTAAAAGTCCAAAATTTATATTTTTGCGAACCAACTAATTGCATAAAGTTATTGATGTTTTTCATAATTTGTAACCTACTTCATATTTTGATCAGTATAATGTTTGTTATTAATAAACATTTTATTATCTGAGTAATCTTTTTATGCATAACAAGTTGGTATGAGCTCATTAATTAAAGTTCCACGATTATTGCTAAATCAATTAGCTATCAACATTTGAATGACAATTTAATAATATTAGTGATTATTATTTTCTAATGGCTTTTCAAAGTCACTTGTTACGAACTAGAATAACAGAATTTCATAAATTGTTGCTTGAATAATCATAATTTCATATTACCTAATTGCCTGTTGTTTGTGCAGTTGCATTAAAAATAATGTAATAATTATTATTACTCAATATTTTTTTTACACATACTCAGGGTTATTATTAAGATCAGTGGTTCTTAACCGGTGGTCGGCGGACCACTGGTGTCCCTGGAGGCATTCCAAGTGGTCCATGAAGTGCACTTGCACACCTTGGTCAAAACCAATTTTAACTGATTATTGCAGTCAAACTGGTTTTGACCGATTGAGGTGGTCCCTGACTAGACAGAAATTTGGTAAAATGGTCCCTCATGAGTTAAAGGTTAAGAACCACTGATTAAGATGTTATTTTGAATTGTATACTTGAAAACTGTTCTTCAAAATGAGTAGGTTGAATGAGATAACCAGGAACACCTTAATTTCAGGCGACAACAGCTAGCGGTAAAGAAACTCCGAAGAGGGGTGGTACATTGTTAAAATGTACCACATGCAATAGTTTTAGTACATTAAGTAGTCGTGCCTTAACCACACACATGGCTCAGTGTTCGCCGGACAATAACAATGTGGCGGGCGCACAGAACGCCGACGCGCGGCCACACAGAAAGCTGTTCGAATGCGACGTGTGCAACATGAAGTTCTCAAACGGCGCGAACATGCGTCGCCACAAAATGCGACACACCGGCGTCAAGCCTTACGAATGCAGGGTCTGTCAGAAGAGGTTCTTCAGGAAAGACCACCTAGCAGAACATTTCACAACACACACCAAGAGCTTGCCTTACCATTGCCCGATATGCAATCGGGGTTTCCAACGCCAGATCGCAATGCGAGCACACTTTCAAAACGAACACGTCGGACAACACGATCTCGTCAAAACTTGCCCCCTCTGCAGCTACCGCGCTCCTACCATGAAAAGCCTCAGAGTTCATTTCTTCAACAGGTGAGATCTGTTCAAGATCCGTTTAAGAATTTTAAAGTTAATGCTGTTTTAAATATGTACTTGAGCTAATTGCATATTCATTTGAAAACAGACAGTCAATTTGGAGGTCAAACATAGTTTCCTAATAAGAATAATTCGCTTTTAAAACTGAGATAACAGTCTGCAATGCTAAAATAAATTGAAATGAACATTCTGTAGTGATAACCGAGCTGTTTTTCGATTTTACAGACACGGTATAGATCTGGATAACCCAGGTCCCGGCAATAACTCTGTTTCCCTCTTGGCTGCTGGCATCGCGAATGCCGCATACGCCGATGGCACCATGGACCCTGCAGCGATGAACGCGCTGGGCGCTTTAAGCTCAGGGCTCTCAGTATCCGTAGCCGCCGCTTACTCCGACAGTGGCGACAGCAACGGGGCCCGATCCGTGGACAATGCGACGCCACCCATGCACTACTTAACGCCTCATGTTGAGATATCTATGGCCGATAACAATGAGACATTCTCACCTGGACAGTCCAACCACTTAAATAATTCGGGTGAGTGCTAATAAAAAAATTATAATAACATAAACACATCATTATCACTCCAACCTGATTCGAGAGCAGATATTGTCTTATCAAAATAGGATCGAGGAATTTGTTTAACCTTTAACNTCTTCCGATCGGTGCACAGATTGAGTGCGAACGTTTCCCGCATACCAAGAGATGGCGCTGTCAGTGTGCTACATCGCGGTGGCGTTTTCGTCTTTATGTATTCGTCATCTAAACAATATTTTAATGCAGTTGTCTTTTTTTCCTCCAGATTCTCGCATGAACGGTGAGGGCCCTAGCTCTCCGCAGTCGGGTGACAGCGCTATTGCCAGTAGCTCGCTCTCCGCCGGACTTCCGACCAACATAACTCCGTCCATCACACTTATACCAATAAAACAGGTAAGTTCTTCTTTTTATCTTTTTCTTTAAAATCATTTTCTTATAACTAAAAGGGAGCAAGAGATGGGACATAAATCTATGAACCCTTAATTTGATATTGTGATCATGTGATATTAAACATACAAAATGTAATTTTTGGAATATCTCATATTGGAAATACCTACAGATTTCTTATGTAGTTTGGGACTAAAAATACAGATAGGCGCAAAAAAAAATTGGAAATACCCTTATAAATACATCGACTGTCTTATCAGTGTTTACGTTTAATGAGAAGTCTACTTATTTATCTATAGGCACTTAAATTTTATTTAAAAACAATGAGATACATAAATACTAATTAAATACAATTCAAGTACCTACACCATGTGGCTATGGAGAGGCCACATCTTTCGCAAAACAAACAAACCATTGGGAAAGAAAGACAACCACAAACTGAAAGAAACAGAGTGGGTAGGCGGTAGGCCTCCCACTCAGTGGACCGATGCGTGACCTAGTTAGGAATGTATTAAGCCACATATTAGGCCCAGAGCCGCTCGCTGTGGCGTTCTATAGCACTTCTGACAAAAAAGCGAAAATTGCCGATCAATTTTCTTGCTCAATAAACAAAAAATAATAATCTTAAATTTATCGGCACTGAGACAATAGACGTGTTGACACCACCAATCAACTAGATGCAGACAGCTCAGAGCAGCTCGCTGTGGCGAAACAAGTGGGCTTACCACAATAGTCGAGCGGCGGTGGGATTCAAACCCGCGTTCCTCTGATCTCGAGTCGACCAGTGGCCTTTCGACAGTCAAGATGTCGCTGACGTTCAGAAGTCGTCCCATTGAAAAACAGTTCTAAATCCGTATTCACAAGGGTAATTTTGATAGAACGATTACTCGATAGGATCGCAACTCAGTGTTTTGTCGTCGTTGAAGTTTTGTTACGTGCCCGACAGTCCGACCCTTTCACCGTTTGGCTATCTTTTTATTTACTTATTTATTTATCTTTATAAGGGCTGATTTTTCAAACGTCAGATATCTTTTATCTGAAGAATAAACTTGTCATTTTGACATATTTCCCATACTGAAACTGTCAATGTGTCAATTTATTCTTCAGTTAAAAGTTATCTGACGATTGAAAAATCAGCCCTTAAAGAAACATACAGCCTTGTTTGACACATGCAGCTTAAAATTAAGTGGGTTATACATTGGCCTTTAAAGTTTCTAAAGCTAGGTTGTACAGTCAAAGTTGAAAAGGAGACAGATGTGTAGCATAATTTATGCATGTGGTATCGTGGCTTCTTTTTAAATTTTTCGGCTACGTTTCCAGGAGCCGAACGCCCAAGAGGAGTCGGGCACTGGCGGCGGCGACGGCGAGGCCAACGGCGACAAGCGCGGCGTGTCGTCGTCGCTCATCAAGGTGTCGCCGCTCAAGAGCCTGCTGCGCGAGGACCTGCGCCGACGCATCTCAGCCAGGGGGCGCGCGCGCGGATCCAACGTGAGTTTATTTAAACTATATTTTATTATCCTTTTTAATTTGATAGGAATTTGACCACGACCTTTCGCTTGCTGAGCTACTGTTAAAACCGCTGAACTAAACTGTGCTACGGAGTCATTGGGTAAATCTATCGATATTTTCAAGTGTGACTAGCGTCTTGTTTTAATTTTTTTTTTCAATTATGTACAGTTAGCCCCAGAACAGACGGTGAAACGCTACTGCAACGAAACTGCAAGTTTCTGATGATTCTTATGAATGAGACTGAAACTGAAAGTTTCAAACTGGTCGCGTCGTGTGTGGTCTCTCAACAGACGCAATGGCAGAAACTTAGATGCAACTCAAAAGTAACTAGCAGTTGCAGTTTCGTTGCAGTTGCGTTTCACCGTCTGTTCTGGGCTTAGTGTCAATAGTTTGTGACAAACAAAGTAGCCAAAAAGTTCGTAACATGTGTTTGTCAATTGGAATAAGGGTTGCCGACTTTGTAGCCACTTGGGTGTCACTGTCACGAACTATTTGACGCTGACTGTACTATCCAGTTTATACATTTCGCACATGTTAGCGCTACTGGTGACTTTACACCATCGTCTTAATCAATGGTGAAGTTTTGTCCTTACTCTAGTCTAGTATGAAACGAACTTTCGATGGGTTTAGTCCATGTTGTCGTAATGCTGGTGTATTAAGTAAGTAAATTAAGGACATCTACAGCCCAAGCTGTCTTTTGGGACGTTTTATGAGAGTTTGTCAGAGTAAGTTAGGAAAGTCACCCGGAGGGCAGACTCAGAGCTTGAGCAGGTAATTAGTGTTGTGATCGGCGCTCGAGCAGATGTTGAGATGGTTAACCCACCACCAGTCACCACCCATGGTTTTTCCTGCCTCACGGCGTACGAACCGAATCTTGGGAGAGCGCGCGGGTACTTGCTCTGGACTCTTTTCCCCGGGCGCTTTGCTTGACTCCCTAAACTCCCTCGCACACTCACTGCGGGTGCCCGTCGCACAGTCGCGACAGCAACATAATTACGCGCGAGCGATAGGGATGGGTAGCTTGGGGTCATTGGACGGGATTCTACGTGCTCACGGACCAGGCTTTACAAATTTATCTGATCCATGTCCCTTCTCATAGTCAATTCTCCCCCTTCTGGGGCTTGACACAAATACGGTACTTCGCGTCGGGCTGCTATCGTCGATAAATGTCATCACTTCTTCTCATAACTTCGCCTGATTGAGAGGGTTGTTGTGATTGGTTGCGCAGGCGTCCCGCGCGTCTCCGTCGGAGGGCGGCGTGACGACGTCGACGATGGGCGAGGCGGCGCTGCCGGCCGGGCCGCTGGTGTGCGCCTTCTGCGCCATCACGTTCCCCGACTCCACCCTCTACTTCCTGCACAAGGGCTGCCACTGCGACTCCAACCCGTGGAAGTGCAACATCTGCGGCGAGCAGTGCTGCAACGTTTACGAGTTCAACTCCCACCTGCTGAGCAAGAGCCACCAATGACTGTTCGCGGGGGGGCCGCTGGACCGCTGACCCGCGCCGAGCGAGCCGCTTTCTCTCCGCTCCCGCCCGCCCCCCTCCGCCCTCCCCCTCGGCTGACCCTCGGCCGACCCTCGGCCGCGGCGGGCCGAAGTGCTTCGAACGCTGACCCCCCGAAGCTGTTTCGTTTAAAGTGCAAATTACGTCGAGGTATATTTTAGAGGTTATTCTTAATAGTTAAATGAGCGAGGATATTTGTACGGATATTTTAGTACTTAATAAATTAATACGAGCCGAGATAATTTCGAATTTTCGAATTGTCTCGCGATTGGTTTTAGTTGATCGATACGAATTATCGGCGCGTCCGTTGGGCGTGCGGCTCGCACGCATCGCAGCGGTGCGATTTGTATTTAAAAAAAGCTGAAGACTTGCTAACTCGGAAATTAAAATACATTCCAATTGAGACGTATGCATTTTGCTAATGTAAGAATTAATTATGTCTTTGGAGGGGAAGAAGTGACTACATACTTTAAATTACCCATTACGGTTAGATTTTATTTATTATTTCATTTTACAGTACTAAACTGTATATTACCGTGATTGAAAAAAAAACTAAATTTTAGAATATTTTTGGTGCGATAGTGAATTTTACAAATGTTTAGATTGTACAAATTAATATATTTTTACATTTCGCTGTTGACAAGATGTTATTGAAAGGCATAGCCTATATTTCCGTGATTGTTTAATTATTGTGATTGTGTACAGACAGGAATTTAAAATTCTACATTCCGTTTTTTTTATTTATATTTTCTTTTTGCATGTGATGCAAGTCCACGACTAATACTTAATGTACAATATAAATTTATTTTTTGTTATACTTAATCACTTTATTTCTAAAATATGCATTGTTTTTATTACGTTATTTAATTTCACGATGTACTTAATACGTTTTGTTATCGATTTTGGTGGATGATATTGGGCTCTTTCTGTTCGAAGATGAGTTTTGTAGTAGTTTACTTTGGTGAAAGGATTGCCTGACGAAGGTATACTTGCTCAATATAGCTCAAGTATGGGAGGAGTTAGTCGCGCACAAAGCATAATAGTACCGGGACCCATACTGCGCAAGTTCTCTTCTGCAGAAAGACGCGAGTGCTGACCGTGGTGCCTGTACGACTGTACACGACTATTGTTTATTGCATAATGTTGCAGCACAGACGATGTCTGGGGCTTATCGAGTGGTGGAACTAATTAGATCTCTTAACGTTACTCGCGCCAGATTACTGAAATGACACTCCACGTTCAGGCATTGTTACCGCGACATAACGTCAAATCGACCGTTGTGTACTGTGTTTTATTGTCTGAGATGCAGTCGCAATACTCCTTGATTACATTTTCACTGGTGTCAGGTAAAACGAAGCCTTTATTTACGGTTTCATTTTAGTAGTCTGCCGTTAACAATCTATAAAAGGGTTAATGTATGAAATTGACGATTTTTTTTTCAATATTCATTAGTATACAAACAATTTCTTTGTCTATGTCTATTATTCTTTTGTTATTTTAAACTTTATGTTAGGAACTAATTTTCATTTATTTTTTTCACTAAAAGAAATAAATCTACAAACACAGCTCGTCATAAGTGGCGTCCGTTTCCGTACCTTTGTGTATCCTATAGTTGAAAGTCTCAATTTATCCACAAACTTTACTGAGACTTGTGTTCCTGAAAAAATGTTTGTTATGGGACAATAGATATTCGTTAAATTCTCCATACAAAACGGCAATTTCATACTTCAACACTTAATATTACTTACTCTCATTTTACACTATGTAAAAAGAAGTGCTCAACCGAATGGTGAACGATTTTTATCTATACATACTTATTAATTGATGTACAAAAATCATATCATAACATGGAAGTATAATGCATTTACAGAATACTACTGTAATGCGTTAGTCCACTGACCTAATATAAAATTAGAAATTAGGCTTATTTAATATTAATTATTATAGTCACTTACTACATTCCTTGTACCTATTGAATTGGTTAATCCGTTCCATTTTCTTTTAACGTAGATAACCTGAGATTTACATTCCTTTAGGTGTTAAGTACTTAATATCGGTTGTGGTCTTGCCTGTTAAGTTTACGAGGACGACGTAGATGGAACTGAATTTGTTTACCAACGAAGTTTTGTTTTGTTTTGTTGTTACGACGGTACTAGAGTTAGCGGGCGGCGGCGCGTACGTGGCCCTAGTGAGTTACCTGAAACATGCAACACGTATTTATTAAAGAGATTCTTATATATTGTGCTGTTTCGTTGTTGGTTATGTATAACTCTGATATTTATTTATACATATTAATTTCTACCGCAGCCGCCGCAATGTAACTAAGATAAGTTATGTTAAGAGCTATTAATATAATTAATTGGTAACCCCATTGGGCGCCTTTACTTAATCCGTCCATATCTAATGATAAATTGCCTTTAATATTTAATAGAGTAATATATTTTATAGATTTTAGATATAATTATTAAGATCAGATCTAAGTATAAAAATGTTTACAGATTGCAGAGGTTTAAAGATTATTTATTTATCTTATATAAATCGTAGTCTGTATTATAAGTTGATCAAGTGAGCAAACGGCGAGTGAGCCTAATGTTCAATAACAATTTAAGTATATTTACATAATTATTATTGTCTTGCTTGATTCGTTTGTAATACAGAGAAAATATTGTTGATTGTTGCAATTCAAAGTAAATAGATATTTTTTGTGTGGTTAAATATAACTTGAAAAACTTAAGTATTTGAATGTTGTTTTAGTGCAGTGTTAAAATTATGTTGTCAAAGTATAGGAAAAAAAACAGTATTCAAATTATATCCCTCGTAGGATTTCTTTCTATATTGTATTCCATTTCCATTGTTGTCAATAAATTATCTATTTTATATAAAATGTATTATCAATTTGAAATTGATAAGTTATCCTCAGATGCATCCACTAGTGTTGAAACGAATGTGTTAGTGTAGCAATCCTCACCTTAATACCAAATCACAGCTTACCAACATTTTAATTTCGTTATAAGTTGTTATGTATGTAATATTATGTAAGATAGATAAATTAACATGGTTGAAAGCAATTATTTGTATAAGCGGGTTGAGTGTCGTTGATATTTTACTGTTACATTTATTATGTTAAATCATTATTAAACAAATAATATCATTTTACTAATTTTTAAAGAGATACTATTTACGCAGAACCAGTTTGGAATAAATTGAGTGATAGTGATTTATTATATCAATTTTAGCAGATTGTGCCTTAGATGAATGTTACATATAAAGAAATTGTGATGTATTCATGTTTTTGGAAATTATGTCTCATATTTTAGATGTGTCCAATTGAATATTGTCACATATAAATTATATCAATAAATTATACACAAAATTAGAAAATATTAGAATACATTTATGTATAGAAGAATGTTTGGAATATTGTCTGTTCAGCTTGTATTTAGGAGTTTATTTGCAGTTGAAAATGTATCGTCTCGGACGGTCTATACTTATAAAGGAATGGTACTTATTACCGAGTATGTAGTTTATTTATTTACTTTATAATAATTTGGTAAAGGGTCTAATAAAATATTAATAAACTATGAGATGTAACATTTCCGACTTATAATTTCGTTCTTCCCTCCCTTAGTCTTAAGATCCAACCAAAATATTAGTTGTTGTATGGATCGTTTCATCCACAAAGACGCGCCCCACCAATTTTTGATCGAGGGGAGCGCGGGGTGCGGGGAGTTTTTGGTACAAGCAATCCGAGCAATATTGTAGTGTGCGCGTGCACTCATTGATAATAAAATTTGGCGTGTACCGATACGATAACACTCAAATATTCCGCGGAATAATGGTGGGGCGCGTCTTCGTGGATGAAACGATCTATAGCAGAAAGTGACTCAAGGTCTAGGTCGGTACGCAATGAGGCTATCGTTTTTATACTTGACTCTTGGCAGCACTGGCGATTGACATGACCATACTCAACAGTGGCGCCATTCAGAGCAAATCGGCAAATGCGATAGTCCTCCTACCGCTTGAGCGCTCACCAGTTGTGCCACTAGCTTGTGATAGTGACCTTCCTCAATCTACATTGGCGCCAAAACCTTAGCTAAAACAGACTAAAACTATAGTTACTTGTAATACAGGCAGATAAACAAGTTTTAAATTTAATTAGATTTTTTTATTGAAAAAAACCAACAACTGAATAAGTCTTACAGTAAAGACAACACTTCTCAACCTTGAGATCATTATTTTGACTCATTCTAAAACATACAAAAATAGTAGCAGTTTAATAAATTATTTTTTTTGATTTTAACTAGTTGACAGTTACATCAGTTGCGATGTTTACACCACTTTCACAAATATTAATGCCAGCTAGTTTCATAGCAGTACACCCTTTTACACTGCCTAAATCTTTCCTCTTTTTGCGCTCAATAGATTTCTTCCCTTTTCTGCTTATTTCTTGGCACTGAACATGGGCCTTTATATGTTTGTCCAAAACAGCCTGCAAAGAAAAATTAAAGTAAGTTTAATTAATATTATTATCTATGTTGCTAGCTAGGCAAACCTGCTGAACTGATTATTAATCATTTATTATATTTCAAACAAGAAAGGGCAAAATTCAGCATAAGTAAATAATTATGAAACCTCAGCTAATATTTGTTGAGGTCTCATTGAGACTGATAAACATTATCTTTGCAAATATATTTTTTTGGTGTCAGGTTCATTTTCCCACAATTTAGGTAGGTACTTATAATAGATGGCTATTTTGTATTAAAAAAAATGTACCTTCGACGAGAGTTGAGCTTTGCATAAATAGCATTCAAATTTTATTTTAAAATGATTTGTCAGGATGTGGGCTTTCAGGTTGTTATTACTGGTATAGGATCTGCAACAGACAAAAAACTAAAATTGTGATAATAATATTATCTAAAAATTAAAAACAAGCAGTAATGAATGTAAAAATAGCTTTGGTTTCAAAGTTCATGTTGTTCTGAGCTAGATCAAACAGTTAATGGCAAGTTAAATAAATGTTGTTATGAGCAAAAACATTAATAAAATAGCAAGTTAAAGCATCATTTGCATCTCATAAACACTCCCAATGCAAATGGTAGATAACTGGTAATATTGCATTGCATAATATTGCAGGCGTTCAAGATTGGTGGCAAAGCCAGAATGTAACAATATTTTATGGTGTATATTACATATTTATGAATGTCTTATTATGCTGACATAATTTTTTAAAACAATGAAAAATTGCAATTTGGAATAAACTAATCTTTTACCTGTGACAATTTTCATATGAGCAAAAGTACACAACTTGCTTTACATCGTGTATTTTAATATGCCGCACTATATGACATCTCTTTTTAAAGCTCCTGTTACATTCATTACAAATGTACTCTGAAATTAAACAACATCATGTTTTGTATGTCATGTAACTAAATATTTTCTAAGTTACATGACATACACATAAATATTTCAATTACCTTTAGGATAATGTTCTGTTTTTAAGTGTTTCTGGTACTTGGACCAGACTTCAAATACCAGTTCACAGTGACTGCATCCATATTTTTTGTGATGTCTTAGATGCCTTTTCTTCTCATAATAAGTTACAAAATCTTTTGGGCAAAACTCACAACTAGAAAAAATATTTCATTAAATGATTAAACTTTGGTGGTTGGTTAACATGACTTCACTGCCATAATCAGGCTGAGTTGCACCACCTAACTTTAACAATAACTGGTGTTTTTATATGGAGTTTGACAGATTTTTGAAGTTAAAAGATGGTGCAACCCAGCCAAAATAAACATCTAAGGAGTGCAGGACAATTTCTTACCTAAAAGACTTTATACCAGTATGTTGATACAAATGGGCTTTCAATTGTGTTTTCCTTTTAAAAACTGCTCTGCAAAAATCACATGAATAAGATGTTCCAGATGTTTGGTGAATTTTTATGTGTCTTTTCAAATTCTGTCTGTTCACATAGCTTTTCATACAAGTTGGGCAACTGCAAAAGGTTTTTGAATAAAAGTTACATTACTTGACCAATAATATGATAAATTGAAATTGGAAAGTGCAGTGTAGGACGTCCGACCACGAAGGTAGCAGGAAGGTGCAGGCCGCCACGAACCGGCCATTGCGGAAATCATTGGGGGAGGCCTATGTCCAGCAGTGGATATCCTATGGCTGAAATGATGATGATGATGAAGATGAATATGATAAATAAACACTAAATCTATCTCATAAAACATGTTTTTAAACTGGTTCTCGAACAGGATTCTTCAAGACTATTAGACAACTTATGGAGTATATTGTTCCTAATATATTCTCATCCAGAACTATTTGTGTATGTACCTGTAGATTACATCATTTGCCACTTTTTTATGTACACTGTTAATATGTCTGATTAAGTGGCTTTTATTGGAATAAGATTTACCACATCCTTCTTCTTTACAAGCATAAGCTTTCTGAAACAATGAACAGAAAAAATATCAAACAATAAAACTTTATCATGTAAACTGCTGAAAAGTACGTAGCTTATTGTGTCATTTTTAGCTTATTTTATTATTTGGAAAGATGCTCAAACATTATTAACTAAATACTTACAACATTGGTGTGAGCTGAATACATATGGTCAGTTAATCTATATGGCCTAGTAAATGAAGCTGTACAACCATTGTGAGGACAGCTGTGGAGCTTTTTCTGTTTATCTTCCATGATCCTTAGTACTTATTTTAATAATTCATGTAAGTAATCCTATTGAAAAGTATTTTAAACTTCCCCCAACCGAATTACGAAGAGGTTAGATTATTTGACAGTTGTTGACATTGACACTTGCAAAATGTTTTTTTTAATTAGTTTTGGTTTTGGCCTAGAATTTTGTCCATTTGCCAGTCAATGTTGCCAATAACAAAATATAAAACTTTCTTTTTCTTTTCTTGACTTTCGCGGTTTATGTTTTATCAGTGGGGTCGTTTGGCCGAAAACAGCATTATTAGCACTAGTGAAGTCAATGACGAAAAAAATGACGTCCTTTTAGCGGTAAAGTGAAACTGCTAAAAAATGTATAAGAAAAATGTCACTTTTGAAGTACTAACGTGTCTTCGCCGAAAGCATGCTAAAGTTTTCGGCGGTTGCTATGGCGATCGCCATTTTGCTAACAATTACTAACAAATTATTTATATTTTCGGCCAAACGCCCCCATGCCTTGCTGACTGACTGACAGATGACACATGCAATGACATGCGTGACAGAAAAGTTGCTCTATTTTGCTAATGTCTGACGAACCCATTATTATTATTTCCATGTATTTAACGATATATTACGAGGATTACTCATCTTTAGAACAAGGTTATAAACTAATTGTTTAAAAGTTCAACATCTTTATTAACTTAATACACTGTGATCAAAGTCAGCTGACGAACGTAAACAAAGGGCATGTCAGTAATCTATGAAGTGGTGAAGAAGATACAAAGTGCTTTGTGATATTAAATTAAATATAATATATTTTACTAACATTAATTATGGATATCGATGGCTCGTCAATCCCCGGCGAGATCGACCAAAATTTACTCTTGCAATTTAGTTGTATGAATACAACTGATAGAGATGAATTAATAAGCCAAATGCAAAGGCTTCTAGGTCCCAGTCTCAGTTATAATACGGCTAGTTTTTTCTTGGATATGAGCAATTGGTAAGTATACATTTAGTATGTCACAAAAAGATAATAAAACCTTAAACGTAGGTAGTTCTAATTAGAAATGAATCTGTTCAAGTTAGATTTTGATGTGTTATTTGTTGTAACTTACAATCTATATTTTCAGGAACTTGCAAGCTGCAATAGGTTGTTATTTAGATTACACTTTACCTCCGAAACTTCCATCAATGTCTTTGAAAGCTGCTCAAAATCATGATGCTGCAGTTGGTCCTGGATCATGGTAATAAAGACTATTACTTTTTAGAAACCGTCTACTTTTTATTACATAGTTGTATAGATATTAAAACTAATAAAATGATTATTAGTTTTGAACAGAATTGGAGCATTGCCAACACTGGGACTGAGGCATGGCCAGGTAGCTGCAGACTAATACAGGCAGGCGGGGAGCCCCTGGCTGCTACGCCTCAGTTTGTGCCTCCACTCCCTCCAGGACATTCAACAACTGTGACCATGAAACTAGTAGCTCCAAGTTCACCTGGAACCCATAGAGGTTATTTTCATTTAGTCACTGATAAAGGTGACCAAATAGGAGGTTAGTTGGTAATCACAATATTCCAATAAGTTTAACTTTACAACAATACCAATCATAAAATAGGCCAGATAACAACTTTGTTCTGAGCCAGTAAATTTGCTCTGTGATGACAGGATATGGTAATAACATTATTTTTATTATTACACATTACAGATACATTGTGGGTGGAAATTACTGTTGAGTCAGAAATGACTATGGCCTTAGTTGAACAACTGGCTGCTCTACCCGTCCCTAGCAGTAGACAAGAAGATTCAGCTACTCAGGTAAATCTTACTTATTGGTATGTTACAAGGTACATTGATAAGTTGTAGGTGTTGCTGTAGTATAATTTTTTATTGCGCAATACCAATCACATCCAAAATTTAATTTCCCATTTATTCACTTTGTATTGTAGTATGTAGTAGAAAACTATTTCATTATCCTATTAAAATATTTAATCCTTTTGGACCCAAAGATAAGTGAATAAGGCGGGGGAACTGTATTCGCATTGCCTATAAATGTGATGTAGTATCATTTCTTGAATGACTTATTTATTTCATAATCTTGGAAAGTACCTACATCTAATATACTAAACTATTTTAAATATATTATCAATTGTTTCAGATGCCACCAGATGATCAAATGTGTTGACATTTTGGTAAAATATGATTTATTCAGGGGAGAAAACACCACAGTGCACCACAAAAAAATTATTGTTTTCCCTACCTTTTCTTTACTTACTTAAAATTATTACACCTCCCTATATTTTCGAAATCATGTAATAATAATAACATTGTATTTTTAAGCAATAATTTCACAAATGTCTTAAAGGATTTTTATATTTATAACAACAATTTTATTTTTTAATACATTTATAGCATAAATGGGATGATAATGCAAATACATCATTAAAAAATCTTTATCTTACCAGCCTTTCCTCATTGTCACACAGGTTCATTTCTTCTTTTACATGAAAGTTGTGACTCACAACTTGTGAGCCCAAATATATGTTATCTCTTTGAACTTAATTCAATTTTCTTGCTTAATTTTCGTTATTTATTGTCAAATGAAATTATTTTTTAAGGTTTTAAGCATGTGAATATTATCAAATTACATTGAAAAGCCTATTTTCATAACGAAAATTGTGCTATTTTGGAAGACAAATCTTTGGGTATTATGTATATGTATAACCAACTCTTAATTTAGATTTGGTTATCACTTATCAGGGTGCTCACAAATCAGTAATAAAATAATATTCAATAAGGTTGTAATTTATTATTCTTAAATGCTCACAACATCACAAAGCAATACTGTAGAATACCCAAATATGGTTTAATGTCTAAAGTAAACCAGTCTTTTACAGTTAACAGTACACAAAAGTTAAATAGATTTTAGGTATATTAAATTTAGGTACACTATGTTATTTATTTCGTTTGGGACATTAAGTGTAGTCTCTACTTAAAATCTGCTAAATACTTAAGCATACAATACATTTTGAAGCAAGACTAAATTGTACTAAAGAATTAATGTACAAAAACTCATTAATATACATAGCTCTAAAAGTTGATTGTAGCTGTAAGATGAAAATATGAATTTGTTGGGTATTGTTGAAGTTTTACAAAAGATATGTGATGATGAAAATGGATTTTTATCATTGTAACATTAATTAATTAATTGTACTTTATTTTTAATATTGAATTGCCATTTGGGGTTATTTCATATAAGCATGTAAAGTTAAAATAAAATGGTTGCAAAGAAAGTTTTTTTAGAGTTTTTCTTTTTCTAATAGGTTTTTCCCTGATGACCCATTATGATTATGTTGACCATCCTTTATGAATGTTGATGGAATATTAATACTTATCAAATGAAATCCTTAACCATTTCCATGTCAAATCCTTAACTTATACTGCCATTTCCATGTCAATTTTTGGATGGGGATTATATCCCTCTACAATAAAATCTTCAAATTTAAAGTTGTCAATAGATTCCACCTTGCGGGCAAACTTTAAAGTGGGAAAGGGCCTTGGTTCCCTGGTCAACTGTGTGGTGAGAGGTGTGATATGGTTCAAATAAACATGTGTGTCACCCATGGTGTGTACAAACTCTCCAGCCTGAAAGAATTTAACAAAAATTTAATTTGTAATGTAATGTAAATGTAAAAATATAAAAAAATGATTCTTATTTTTTTAAAGTATCTTACCTGTAAGTTTGTAATGTGAGCAATCATATGTGTGAGTAGTGCATAGCTTGCAATGTTGAATGGTACTCCAAGGCCCATGTCAGCACTTCTTTGGTAGAGTAGACAGGACAGTTTGCCACTTGCCACATGAAACTGAGCCAGGCAATGGCACGGAGGCAATGCCATCTTTCTCAAGTCAGATGGGTTCCATGCACACATCAACATTCGTCTGTCTGCAGGGTTCTTTCTACAAATAAAGTCAATAACATTATCAGATCGTAAAGGTAAATTTTAGTGGAAAAATAAAAAATAACAAATGACATTACTTTAGTGTCTCTATAATGTTTTTAAGTTGATCTATCCCTTGTCCAGAGTAATCAGTTTCGGCATCTATATACTGAGCCCCACTGTGTCTCCATTGGAATCCATAAACTGGTCCTAAATCACCTAGAAATAGAAATGAGTAGAGCATTACAACAATATCCAACTACAGGTAAGTTAGTGAATAATATACAGTAAAGTAGATGATTCTTACCTTCTTCTCTGCTGGTAAAGCCTAGATTGTCAAGGAAATCTCGGGATCCGTTAGCATCCCATATGTGTACACCTTTTTCAGCAAGAGCTTTTGCATCAGTAGAACCAGAAATCATCCACAACAGCTCGTGAATGACTGCTTTTAAAAATACTCTTTTAGTTGTTAAAAGTGGCAAAATGTTGTTGGTCAGTGAATATCTTTGCATCGTTCCGAAAATGGATAGAGTGCCTACTCCAGTTCTATCCACTCGTTTGTCTCCTGGAAATAATAGGACAATAAATTATTATTAAATGAAAATATTCTTAACGATACGATAAGCAACAGTACGAAATGGTTTATTACGTTTTATTAATCTAAGTTTATTACCTGTTTCGATAATTTTACGAACAATATCAAGATACTGGTATTCTTCATGCTGTTTAGGAGTATTTTCATTAAGGGTTACAATTCCCATTTTATTGAAATAATTCAGATTATTCACCAAAAAATAAAACCGAAAATATTTTTTCCCAATCGACGATGGCGGGAAATATTGACATTTCACTAATGTCATTGTCACATGTCACAGTGTGATTTTTTTCACGAAAAAGCAAGGGCATTACGCCATACAGCCAAATCTTTAGTTTTATTTTTTTTTAAATTTTATAATGTCCCTAAACTTATTTAAATGATGTACCTATTGAAGGTGAAGGATGATAGATGGTACCACTTCCCGAACTCCTTGAATTTAATAAAGATGTGGCGCTTTACTGAGGAGAATTTGAAAACTTATGGGTTGCACTGTTTTGTTTCATTTACCTACACTCATATTGCACGGTACGTTCACATAAATACATATAATGTTTAATAATCCACCATTATTTCACATATTCGGCCAAACAACGGAATTAAAAAGCATGAGATTTCTGACGTATAACTGACTATAGATGACCCACGCTGAACTGTCCCGCCAAACTCAATGACAGGGGGGCGCTACCATCGTTCAACTATATGGTTTCCAACATGGCAAAAATCTGAACCAGCGATCCGGTATTGACGGTGGCGCCCCACTGTCAATGTCATCGACAGGACAGTCCAGTATTTTGGAACTTTCCCGCCAACGTAAAAGGCAGCCCGCCAAGAAGAAAAGTAATGTTGCTAATGGTTACCAAAATGGCCGGAATAAACAAACAAAATGTCAAAATTGTCTACAAATAATGCAAGCCAATGTTTTCTTACTTTACATTAATTATTGTTTATAATTTATTATTCACTTGAAAAGTTACAAACAGTGAAGTAGGTAAGTTAATGGTAAAACACTTACGCTATAAGTACTTAATTAGCAACCCAAATAATAAAGTTCAGTTTATGAATGTTTTATTACAGCTGCAATTTAAAATGCCTGCTTTTGAAGCACCATGTGTGGAGCTTGGCAGTGCTCCTCAAACTCCTAGCATTGCAGCCTCGCCATCACCCTCTGAAATATCTAGCGCTAGTTCGCCTGAGCCCCAAATTATACGCGCCACTCCTTTATTCAGGTTTGTACGTAGAGGTACGTGCGAGGTACTTGCACGCACGTATTAGTATACTTTTTTTTTAAACAAATATTCTTACGAAAAGGCCAAATGACCATTTTACTTATATTCATACAATTTGAAATGATTTTCAACAGAGCATTGGCGATGCCTCCTCCGGAGCCTGAACAACCACCAGGCCAAGACGAACTTGAGCGACGTCTTCCTGGCTATCGACGAATAGTGATTCCTAGGGAACTGACGTTGATCGAATTACTCGTGAGTTTCTCTTTTACCTATGTGGTTGGTGAAAGTTTTGCGGTTTAGTAATCTCATCTACCTTTAATTAGTTTCCTGAAAAAAAAATTCTAGCCTAGAAAAGCGAAAGCGTTAACTCAGCGTTAGTATAACTTCACGAAAACTTTTTAATTTACTACTTTTTTCATGTTTTGGAATAATTATAGCCACGGTAGAATAGATAGCTACATAATTTAATGATAATTTTAAATGTATTCAGAAACAGTGTAGTGGTGTGGCCACTGACGAGGACGTGCTACGCATTAGAGAAGCAAAATTGCGGGTAGTGGCTGAACGAGTCGGCTTGAGGAGATTACACGTGCTCGCTCCTAGACTTCGCTCGCTGACTCTGGATGGCAGCGCTCTTACATCTTTACGTGATCTTGGGATTGGCTTAGTGCATTTAAAAGTAACGTTTACGTCTATTAATTTTTTTGAGTTTATGATCTGGCTAATCTACCTTTATCATCGTTAAAAATCATCACGCCAATAAAATAATTCGCCACATACTGTGTATGGCTTGAATAAACTGCCAAGAGTTATTGATTGCAGTTTAGGATTAATCAAGCGTATTAAAAATGTTGTAGATTTTGAGCGTAAATCGATGTGGCCTGACCAGCTTGGATGGAGTGTGGGGGTTAGGTGCTTTGCGCGAGTTTCATGCGTCTGGAAACCGTCTTCAAGACCTACAACCATTGGCGGCATTGCAGAAGTTACATACACTCAATTTATCTGAGTATGTATTAGTCTTTAAAACGGTTCTACCCGAAAAAGATTTGGTATAAAATGAATTCAACGACTTGCAATTGGGGTTCCAGCAATCCTGTCCCAGACACCAGTCGAATCTGGACTCTTGGCGTTTGCGGTTCATTGCGTCGGTTAACTTTGAAAGGCTCTCCGGCAGCAGATTTGCCTCAATACAGGTCACGGATTGCGGCCTCCCTACCCATGCTTGTCTATTTGGATGATCATCCATTGCACCTAGATATTGAATGTAAGTGTTTGAAAATCGTCTTTTTATTTATAAGATAATATCAACTTGATAAGTCTATTAAATTAAGCGTAATGTATTTCCTAAACAGACGATACAGAAGGTATTTTTGGGCCGATGTCTAGCTCAGATTCTGAAGCAAGTGATGTAGAGATGGCAGAACTAAAACCATCCCTAGAAGTCCCTACTTCTGAACCGGAGCCAGGCCCATCATCACAATTTCCTGAGGTGATTTGTGTTATGTGCTTCTTCATCAGTGCTTTTTATTCATGATTATATCCGTGGTCTTTTACTAAATATTATGACGAATACTTCACAGGAAAAGACCGGCGAAGGTATTGAGGACGAAGTGTTGCCCACCATTCGCCGACATCGACGACCGGCGACTACTGAGAGTGCGGGCTTACGACCAGTGCGCCCTGCCCTACCACCGAGGCCACGTACTGCTCACGAGCGACCCAATATAGACGCTCCGACCAGACTGCAGATACTAAACTCTTTGATGGGTAGGTAAACAATAGGTACTAAGCTGTTAGAGGATTACCTGTCATTTAAAAATAACGCATTTTAATTTCGATTTACTTAGTTCCATCCCTGTTATGTGGATCTATCTCAAAATTATTAAATGAATGTCCGTTTACTTTAGCTTCTGCTAGACTTTTGGGAACCTGGTGTTGAGGATGTAATGCAAATTATCTGGCTATTTGATAACGCTTATAATATGTTATGTGCCTTTTTGCTATTGAAAAATAAAGTACATATCAACTTAAGCTACAAAAAAACCGAACACTGACACTTGAGTTTTAATTGGAAGACGAGGAGTGGCGCTGTAGTGGCAGCAAGCTGACTTCTCACGAGCCCGTGTGCGGTAATCTGACCCGAGCTTTGCGACGTCCCGTAACTGCCCGGAAGAATTGCGGTAAGTTAATTATTAATAAGCAGATGCAATGTATTTTGTTTAACTCCTTTATTATGGCCCGGTGAAAGGGTAGTTACGTCACGAACGAACGTATTATTGGTTTTGGAAAACCAAACGTGTTTTACTAAAAGGAACTATAAGGAACGAGTTGATTAAAAACGTTAACTTTCGTTTTCCTTGTTTTAACTTTAAGATGGTCCGATAGCGTAGTGAGAATAGCATAAATTCAGAAGCGACAAGTTCTAGGTTTGATTCCATATAAAGTCAAATCATGCCAACATATTGGCTGCCAAAACATATTGATTGGCACACTGTCATTCTTCTTATGTTCTCTGAATTGTATTTATCTTATTATAAGGTACCTACTTACTTATAATTTAGTTGCTTGTTAAACGGGTGTACTAAGTATGTCGTATGCGACGTCTTATAACCCACTTAAATCAATCAAAAAGATTGTTTAAACATCAGTTACATCATCATAATGGTGAGATAGGTACCTACTTACAAACGTTGGAATTTATAAGATTTCTTCGCAAACGTAATGTGTCAACTTGTAAACGTATTGTCTGGTGACACGCATGCGGCCTATTGCGAAACAAGATTTCTCTCAAAAGGTTGTAAGGCATTTCTCATTATAATGCGTTAATCGTTTAAAGATAGGTGCATTCATTTTTTATTGATACACTTTCACTCTGTCTTTTTACCGTTTTTTAACATAAGAACTTATTTTAAACAACTGTCCTCCTCTCCATAGGTTGTCTGGAAGAGACCGCTTATTTATAGCGATAAGACCGCCTATATTGTACAGTCCATGTGTATCTGTTGCTTTCTTGTTTTGTGGGTGGTGTACAATAAATCCCATCTGGTGGTGTGCATAACTTTTGGGAGCCAGCAACTGTAAGAGTAGAGGGGGAGTGGAAGTCGACCATACGGGTTCCCACTCCTCCTCGACACACGATGCACGGTTTATGGTGGATAGGTTTAGTGGGTAGGGTCCGCTAAATAGGACGAGGCCCCACACACCTCCCAGCAGCCCCTCGCGACTGGGTGACGGTGCGCAAAATGCATTTCGACCACCTAAAAAAAAGTCGTAGTCGGGCAGTTGATCAGTATGGGCATGTATGGGAGTGCGCACACTACGCCGATTCGATTTGGCCGATTCTTCATACAATTTAAAATCGGGCACAACTATCGGCCAACTAAAAATCAACGGTGTGCGCCTACTCTAAGCGACGAAATAATAGATAACTCTCTGCTCTACAAATGAGTATTAAAACGATTTCCAGCTTGCTGGGAATTAATTCTTCGAAAAAATCTAATTTGATTGGCCTATGACTATAAAATGAGATCATTTATTTAATTGGTTTTAGTTGACGAAGAGAAGGAGATGGTCGAACAGGCGATGGAAGAGGCTACTCGTGCCCTAGCAGCAGAAATACCAAGGGCACCTCGTCTCGAAGACTGGGCGAAGTTCAGGGAGGAAACCGGGTAAGGCTCTCACTTGTAGGACAAAAAAAATATTTTAATTATGGAGTCTTTGTTATGGGATCAAAAATATATGTATTTGATAGCGAATTAGCAATAAATTTATTCTGTAGATAATAACTCAAACAAAACCTTTTTTCTTAATGTGTAGGTATTCCTTTTGTGACAGAATTATTTAACCTTAGCTGCTCACTTCGTAGGTAGAGCTTCTTTCTTATTCAACCGGTTTTGTTACTTTTTTTTGTTTAGTTCGTCAGGGTTATTTGATCATAATTGGTTGTCTTTAACTAAGAACATAATCTTTGTCAAATATTTCTCTGTTGATACAAACACAAGTCGTGGTGGTAGGTAAATATGGCCTAGTCGCGTACTTATGTTTGTATAGAAAGTTATTGACTACGCAACAGACGGTTAGCTTTATAAGCGTTTTGTTTGATAAATTGAAACATAGCCTTCCATTAATTTTATGCATGATGTTTTCGTAACTTCGAATACACAGAATGGATCAAAAAGTTAAACCTCCTAATAAATTAAAGAAATGTTAAGTGGGAATATTAAAAACAGTATCGTAGTAGTAGTATCGGGAATAGCTACTCTCTCGTAGTCATACGTTACAGTAAGAAATTTTTGAAACTGGCTCAGCCTTTCACTTTAACAATCGAAAAAATTTCAGAATCGACATCGACATAGATTTTAACGAACGGCCAAGAGATGCGGATCCCACGAAAGTAATGGAGCGTCTGGAGAGAATAGAAAAAGAAACCATGGAACGGTTCAATCAAGAGAACAACGGGGGAAATGGTGAAAACAGCGCTCTTCCAAACGCTACGTTCGGGAATTTTACCATGACCGTCATGAACGATATTGATACGTGGAGAGGCATGCGTGACGTGTCTCGGCACCCAGAACCCGTTACTAATGTAGATGCTTTATTCAATGATATCAATTTAATAAGGCCCAGAAGCAGATTTATGGGCAATGAAGAATAAAGAAAGATACCGCATTACTAATTGAAAACGTACCTACGTTTGCACACGTTGTTAATAATAAGGTTATTACTGGAATATTATTGCAGAAATTATAGATATAATTTCCTGTGATCGGCATCTTTTGAATCGAACTTTAGAACAATATAAGTCGTGATTCAAACCTATTAAAAAGGTAATGTGTATGTATTTCTATTATTGTGTAGTTGGAAGGAATATTTACACTTTTTATTAGAAAAACATTTTATTTTAATACTTATAGGCAGTGATGACATTGAAATGTAACTTAAGTAGCACTACTTAGTTCAGAATACACGATCAGGCAGCTCTAAGCTTTTGAAAATAATACTTAAGAGCGTTTACGCGAAGCGCGGCGTTTCAAGGGGCATCATTGGAAATGATTCGCGCGCGGCGTTTTTTTATAGTTTTCAAATGTTTATAGCAAAACAATAACAATGAATTAAATATCGTTTCAAAGTAAATATTTTAAAGAAGATGTTGTTTTATTATATTAAGCTATTTTTATGTTTTAATAAAGGAAAAATATTGGTGAAAAAATCACTTAGATTTTTGGGTTTTTCACGTTCTTTTAATTTGTGATTTCTTATTGTAAAATGCTTAAATCTAAAAATTTTCTCAGATAACTATTTGCCCAAGGATCTATGCTATAGGATATAAATGTTTTTTAAATCGTTTTCACAGTATTTTTATAAAAATTTCAGCTTGTAAATTGACGCTAAAGTGGAAATTTACAAAACCTGTGTGGACTTATCTTGATAGAATTCTTAAATACTAAACTAATCGCAATATTTTCTCAATTAACTATTTAGACGACGAAATTGCCTAACTATTTATGTCTATAACATATTTGTAGTATTACTGGTTAATGATTGTAACGAGTTGAAAAAGTACTGTTTTTGCGCCAAACGGCGTAAACGCTCTTAATAGCACTTAATTGGTGTAGGTACGGGCAGTTGTCTGTAATAAATAGGTAATTATTTATAATATTCTTAATTTTATAGAGCACTAGAGTAGTGATTCTATTAAACAGCTCTACCACGAGCTAAAAATTTAGGCACTAGCATTAATCGAACTATAAAATGTGTTTAGTGGGAGTGATCATGAGATTTTAAAACAAATACAGGGTGTTCAGTAGGAATAACCTGCAAATAATGGTTTAATCAAAAGATCACACCTACTTGTTAACGCTTCTACAAACATGAGAAGTTTCTATTTCTACACAAGCACCGAAAAATGTTTAGTGAAATGAAAAAGTAAGTACCTAGTGGTAGGAACGTTAGCAATAGGATTCCTTTTGTTTTTAATAAAATTGTTACGTTCATTTACATAATTAACATAACTAGGTACCTATATTTTTAGAGACCATGAAAATTTGTAGAAATTGTTTCTAGGATATTTTTTGTGGCCACATAATAGAATCGTTGCATTGTGATGTGAATAAAGTTTATTATTTGTTATTACGTAAAGCAATGGTTTTATTTATAGCTGACCCCTCGACACTTTCAATCATCAGTAGGTAGGTACCTACAATCGTAAATACATTGTAAATGCTACAACTTTCGTGAATAATAAATAACGTCCTTTGGTAGTACCTAGTAGTACCAAGTGGGTACAATTGCCTACTAATAAAATATTATCAATTCAAAAGCAACTAAGACTAAAAGCAACTAAAACTAGCAGACGTCTGTCTGCTACTTTTTCACACCTTTTTCTAGTGGATAAGTACCTAAATATTTTTTTTTGCCTAAAATACTCCAGCTAAGTGCTAGTTGCAATAATAAGTACAACCTTTTTAATGGCTTAAGTCATTAGTAGGCATTGGTGAGTGGTGACTGCTAAAACGAAGACCGCTAATTACATTAGGTACCTACTTAGTTCAGTGAACTAGATGTGCCAGCAACGCGTGAAAATTGTCAATTTAACCTTCTGGCGCAGTCGGGTAAAAACAGAAGAACCTCATGGTGCAATAAACAAATAAATAAATACATTTAACTCAACTGTTAAGATTCCCATTAATAAATAAATATCCTTGGACATTTTACACTGCGCCGCTAGCCCCAAACTAAGCAAAGCTTGGGTACTATGGTTACAAACAACGGATATAAACATACTTAAATTCTTATTTTTTTGTAAATACACAATACATAGGTACATATTATACGTAGAAAACACCCAGACCCGTCACATAAATTAAAATTCATCATTTCAATTTCTGCCCGGCCGGGACCTTCGGCATAGTAGTCCGTTCTGAACCACTATACCTACCAAACGGCCGACAATTAGGTACAAGTAGTCCTTTAAATTAACGGAAAAAAACATTAAGCGGTTTTCTAATTAGTGTGTCACTGATAAGTACCTACCTATGGCTTATCAGTACCTATCATCTGCAAATTGAATGAATATCTTGACTTTGCATGGTGTCAATGCCAACACCTACCTATTCATTGCGTGCTAAGAAAAGTCATTCATAGGCATGGCGAAAACGTAAGGGATTTTCGACTTTAGCACGGTTAATCTTGCTAGCAGCTGTATTCGTTACGTACCAAAGGACTTGTTGAACTCGGATCAGTCTGCTTTAGGCGGCCGGCTCTTGTAGCCGCGTGGTAATACTGTGATACGGATGGTCGGTACTAAGTAGTCATGGATCTATCCATAAAGTTGTACCGACTCATTGTGGTCAATTTGTTAACCGTATACTACTGTATGGTAGTGCTAATTATTATTGCGCTGAATTATGTAAAGGGCTTGTTCGTGAATTCGTTAACCCCGAAGAGGAAACTCGAACCTCCGGCCTGCCTCTCTGACCCGAAGTATGGAGTGCACAAATATATTAAAGTTAATGTAAGTAAAGTTATTTTAGATTTTAAAATTTTCATGAAGCATTTTATACGATACACACTAAATGCAAGAGTGAAAAATATACAGGATGATGCCATGGCCACCAGTTGAAAGGAAAATACACAGTGTAAAGAAAAAAAAATTGTTACGGAATATAAAACACAAATTTATTATTATGTATTTTACTCCTATCTTATAAAACGGTAACTTCTTTCTTACGTTCTTGCTTAAAAAATAATTTTAGGTAAAAATGTGTCATCGCTATGAAGAGTTGAAGTCAGCTTTTGCCTTCTGCGTGTAATTTTCAATTCTTTTGAATTATGTACGGTTTACGTTCTCTACATTCACCACAAACGTCGTGCCTTTAAATGTAAGTAGGTGGGTAGTAGGTAGAACCTTTGGGTAGAACCTTAAAAGAAAGTACCTAATATAAAGTAACACCTGAAACTGCAACGTAAAACCACGTTAAAGCTATAAACATATTTTTAATCCAACAGATGTTAGTTATTTCACAACAACTGATAAAAATATCCGTCTTGTGTACATATACCTATAGTGGTGTTTACAGCTGTTAACTAGTAGACACAACATTTGCATGCATTCTGTAAACACCTTCTTTAGGTACTGTAGCGATATTTGAAATGTAAGAATTAAATAATAGGTACACAACACAATATACCTACTACGTTAAACATATAGCAAAATGTATAAGAAGCACGCACGGTATGGTGCGTGCGTACGCCATAAGTTTCGGCCGCACTCTTATTGCGTTCTTTCTTAGTATAGCCCACGGAATATCCAATTATTATATTATCCAATTTTTCAGTTTTGAAAGTTGATATTGACTAGATACTCTTTTCTTAAAGTCTTTGTTTGATAAAAATTCAAAAGCATACGTAAATATTTTTAAGGTTACCTGCCCATTACCGTAACCTTTCAAGGTTTATTTAATTTATTCCTGTTTTTTATTTGATAAGTTTTGTGAAGGTAAAACGTGGGGAGTGCCAACCAAACTATACAAAGAATCTTACTGGAATGCTTCGAAAGTTGGTTGCTAAACTAAATATTGGTGGACTTAAGAGGTAACATCCATTATTTCTTAAGTCTTCTTAAGTTCAATAAATAATAGGAACTGGATTTGTAAATTCAATCTAACTAGGGAAAGCCGTAGAATAAAATAATTTTCCGCAAACGACTTTCACTGACGTTACTCGTTTCGCTTGCCTTTCATAGTAAAGTGATACCTACATAGATGCAAAATATACAGGCCACTTAGCTGATTATGAGGCCACGAGGAGATTATAGGGCTCCCCTAGATAGCCTAGTTTGCTTGGTTATAAATAAAATAAGAAGAATTAAATAGGTACTATTAGGTACCACAGAATAATACTACTGTGACTGACTGGGTATAATTTAAATCATGTTTAGGCACACACTAAATAATTTTGCATCGATTAAACATGATTGTGTAGCATTATCAGCGTTATCAGGAAGGAAATCGACCTTCTTAGGGCTTCTAGATAATCACGATTTTCACCGGACAATGGAAATTATAATTATCTTTAAATAACTGAAATTCACGATAGACATCCTCAAGACAACTTGTATTACACTGTCTGTTACTCAATCTTTGATAGAGAGTCTGCATTGACTCGATCCCAATTTTTTTTTGTATTAACATCATCATTTACCACTTGTCAAACCACACACACACTGTCATACCATTTACCAACTGTTAAACCACACATGTACCTACCTAATGCAAATAAATGACTTGATTTGATTTGATTTGATCATCAATCTATTCCGGTCCACAGTAGCTGGACATATCCGCGCAATTTTACCATGACGTCTTCAACTCTTTGCAATACGATATGAATGTTTTATTAGCGTCAAGCGTCAAGTCCTATCATAATATTGTGTCTAGTCTACCTATGTACCTATGTATGAAGAAACTCTTGATAACTATTTTACAGAAAATAGGTCATACAGTCATACTATTGTAACTCCTGCCCACCACGTGATGAAAATCCCAGAAAAATCTTGTTAAGTTTACTCAGCCATCCGGAAGAGATCCGGACCAGAAAGCGGAACGACTTTCGTGTTTGGTGCTTTGCAAATGTGCAATGGCTATTATTGCAGTATTGCACACTGCGCTCGGGCACTCGAGTGAATGCACTGTATATGTTATGCACTGGCACGGCACGCACACCTCGCCTCATTATTTACCCTACAAGGCATAGCAATCTTGGATCTCGGTCTACATGTGACTTTATGCAACAAGAATGTTAACAAGATCTTGATAAATCTTGAAAATAATTCAGATGTCGCGAACGCGGGTTTGTCGTCGAGGTAGAGCGTCAATCCTGTAGAAAGCTGAAAATGATTTTGCAAAATAAATCTTGCTCTCCAAGTAAAAGTTGTCCCTATTGAGAACAGACGTTTCGCCAGGTTAAATGGCACGAATCGATATCAACAGTAATCGTACTTTGATACATGCACTTATACCTACAATATTCGTCGTAATCGTAATGTTATCGGGCTATCCTGGGGCAGCTCAATATTATTTAGGACGATGCAAGTAGTTACCGTTAATGTCTTAGCTGCAGTTAAATTTTAAGTAATACTTTGATAAATAACTATAAGTCAGGATATTAGGTATAATAAAGGGATAACATTGTAGAGAGAAATTTTGACGCCTCTTAAAAATGTGTAATGTTCTTGATTTAAAAATAAAATCAAACACGTTTCTTAATAACTATTAGTCTAGACTCTAGACTACCTAGCAGGGTAGGTATATCGGAGATAATTATTATCTCCTTGATAATAAACTCGTTGCTCTAGATAATATTTATATCTGTCTGTATCTGCTCGATTGATAGCCGTTTATTTCAGACTTACCTAAATGTAAACCAAATCCTTAAATAAAACTGACGTATCGCAACCTTCTGATCTGAAGCCCGGCCGCCGGTTATTTGTTACTGATGTGGCATCTAAACGTAGTTTTTTTGATCGACACTGGTTCTGACCTCTTCTGCTTTCCGCGTCGCGTCGTCTACCTAGAGGAACTCATTCCTCATCAGATGTGTTAGGTGCAGCTAATGGGAGCTCAATCAGGCCGTATGGCACAGTGACTCTACACCTTAATCTAGGGTTACGTAGGGTCTTTCATTGCAACTTTGTAATTGCCGATGTCATCATACCAATAATTGGCTGATTTCCTGGCGCATTACAGTCTTATTACCAGACCTTTGTATTATGCGACTAACAGATGGAACCACTAATTGCTCGACCACTGTTTCAATCGATAAGACTTCACAGGCCAGTATTAGAGCGGTGTCCATTAATCATTAACCATTTTCCGATATTTTGCTCGAGTTTCCAGATCTGGCTAAGCCAGGAGGCTTAGTCAGAAACTTAGATTTCCGCCACCATGGCAATCGCTGTAGACTTTGCAGGGTGCAAGAAGTTTGGATTGCAAATTCAAACCGCTATAGTGGGTAAGGGTATGTTACACTATTCTAGGGGTATTTTTGACTTCTTTTGGAACTCTACAATCTACATGTAGGAATTGTTAGTTTATAACAATTACTATTACCTTGACTCTAGGTAGGTAGCTAGGTCCTAGAACAATTAAATCGTTTAACGAACTAAACGATATGAGTTTAATTTGAAAAATAAAGAAAAAAAAGACAATTATAATAGGCTAGTTGCCTAAAAAAATTTTTTTAGTCCGTAATGTTTAATATCAAAAAATATTGGACACATATATTTTTATTTGTCAATCTAACAAATAATTACATAGTTATGGTGCGTTGAAGTTGCGCACGACGTCACAACGTGCGGCATTTTTAAGCAAGCGTTGACGTCACGGGCCTCTTCTTATGAACTTTGGGGCGCTTTATCTCTTTAAATTTTCATTAGTTTGAAAAAGTGAAAAATACGTGTAGAGTATTTTTTGATAAGTTAACTGACGGACTAATTAAAACTCTTGCTTTTTGACCCAGGCAACATCCCCATTAACCCCTAGTAACTACCTACAATACATCTCTCGTTATAAAGGATAATCCTTCCACCTTCGGCCTGATCGTCACTTACCATCAGGTGAGATACAGGCCAAGAGCTTCCTCGTTGTGGATAAAAAAAAAAAAATCTTTTACGGAAATAGATACGAGTAAGTATAGTATAGAATAGACACTGCTTGTAGCACATTATAGTTTTAAACAATGGTATTCAAAGGCAGAAAAGTGACTAATGATTGTAATCAAAGCATGCACGAGATACTTGGGTATTAGGATAGTTACTAAATGGATAATTAACTAACTTAATACTTACCTACATCATTTTTCTATAGGTATGCAAACATAATCCTTAGTACATAATGCGACTCACGTTTATACTTACGAACTAAGGCTCGGGTGTTTTTTGTATAATTTCAAGTACATAATATGTAGAGCCTTAAAAGCCGACACGCGGGTGATAATTTTAGCCATTATGTAGAATACCTACTTACTAGCTAATTTAATTTATGATTTTTGCATTTCCAGAAAATAAAGCTACACTATGTGGAAAGTGGAGATCCGTCGAAGCCCCTTATGTTGTTCCTCCACGGGTTCCCAGAATTTTGGTACTCTTGGCGACATCAGATTCTTGATTTCCAGAAAGACTATTGGTAAGCAGCGATAGTTAATTGCATTTTTACTTCTAAAATGCGATTATAGTAAAGACTTGAAACAGGCTTCAAGTCTTCAACCAATTTTATGACTGGTTGTAAAATCAGCATCAGAAATAGAGCTGTTTTAAAGCAATGCTCTACTCCTTTATAAAATCGAGTCTATTTCATAATTTCCATTGAATTCCAGCTTCAAAATTTAATTAAATAATATACTATTGATTATAGTTTCTATTCTATAATGGAAGCAGCCCCCAACAAGTGTCGTGAAATACTTATTACGAATTCATGAATTAATGAATGGTAATTCTTTGAGTTATAATTTATCAAACTCAAGTTCAAGGAAACTCAATTATGAATAAGTCCGTGTTAGGTTAATATGCTTTATGTAACATTATGAAATATGATGTTTAATGTTCCGGCATTACAAANGTTCCGGCATTACAAAAAAAAAATTATTTTTTTTTTTTTTTTTTAAGTAGATAATTTTTATTAAACAATAACAAACTGAATTTGTACAGGTAATTTACAAACTTAAAAACTATACTATATACAAAAAAAAAATACAAAAAAAATATTTAACTATTTTTAATTGCAGGTGTATTGCTGTAGATATGAGGGGCTACGGGGACTCGGAGAGACCAGAAGGCCTTGAAGCTTATCATTATGAGGAATTAATAGAAGATGTTAGAGATCTCATTCGTCAGCTAGGTAGGTGCAATCAAATTAAATTCTGATACAATCTAAAGGAGGTTAATTACTATTGACCTAATAATAGTTTTACTATTTTTATTAGTTAGTAACCTTAGAACAGTTAGGGCTAGGTTGCACCATCTTACTTTAACTTTAACAAACGTCAATTCCATACAAGAAACACCGGTTATCGTTATAGTTACGCTTAAAAAAGCTAGGTGGAGCAACTCAGCCTAAATGTTTGGTAATTTGAGATTTTTTATAATTACAGGTCGCGAAAAGTGCATATTGGTCGCCCATGATTGGGGTGGTCTGATCGCTTGCAAGTTCCGCGACCTCTATCCAGATGTATTGAGTGGCGTCGTTTTGTTGGCGAGCCTGTCTAGAGAAGCCTGGATGCAATCGATTTGGTCTAATCCTGCACAAAGGAAGAAATCATGGTACGAACTATTCATTAACTAAGATATTTTTAGATACATCATCCACATCTTGTTCGTAGTTTTCAGTTGAACTTCCTATTTAAGTACTGTATAAAAAGGAATCAGAAGTAGCTGTTAATACAGTGAACACTTTCTTGTTAATTGTGATGTTTCTCGAAACAATACGACTTATGTAGTTGTAAAGTTGAGTAACTGAAGGTAGGTAACATTTTTAAACCTTTCTGTGTTGTGTGTGTCTCATTGTTAGTCCTTGTTCAAGCTTGTACTTACCTAAGTATCATTATAGTCTTTCATTGTCTTGTTAAAGATTACCTACCTAGACAATTTTTAACACTGAGGATTTTTGCTTAGGGTTTATTAATAAATTAGGTAAATACTTATTTGTTCTTTTTGACGAACATTTTCACAAAGTCGAAAACAAATTAGTCCGTCGTTAATGTTTTTACTTTTTACCCGACTGTATAGCGAAACGGTTAAGTATTAAGTATTTTATAAATTGTTTGTTTGGTGTCCTTGCCTGACTCAGGTATAACCTTGTTTAATTGCTGAAAGCTATTATAGGTTGTATAGTTCTTTAATTGGTTTGACTTTGGACCTATTACATCTTCTATTTTCAAAATTAATGGTGATACTATCATCATTCATTAACTCGTGTTTCTGTAAAAAAAACCGGACTTGATTTGTAAAATAAAAGTTTAAAATAATATTAGCTAATTAACATATCTCTAGGTACTTATGGCAATAGCCACTATGCTATAGCTAACATGTGGACATGGTGCGTCATTGCCATCATCGGGTTTTGGAAGACACCTACCTACTAATTAATAAGTAACAGTAAGATTGCGTACTTTAGTCATTCGGAGTCGAAAGCAGGTTTGGTTGTACTTATTTATCTTTTTGGACTTTTTGGACGTATTACCATGATTTTGAGGAAGTTCTTACGTCATTTTTGTTAGGTAACTTTTTGCAAAAAATGTATTGAAAATGAATTTAATTAACAATGTCGTACCTTCATAGTTACTGGGTGGTTAATTAGCGTGGATAATTTACGTAATATTCATACGTAATGGCACCTACGACACACGCAATATCTTTGCAAATTAGGACAGAAACTTTTTTATGGGTAAGGTAGTTTTTTGTTTTTAAACATTGTCTAGTCTAATAAGTTCTTCGATAGTTAAATACTAAAATCACAGGACGCGCCCTAGCTTGCCTTGATAAGTGTTAGAGCCTTTACACAAATACTTACTTAGGTAGGTAGATTAATTAAAATATACTTTGTAGTTATAGGGCAAATTCAGTCGTCAACTTTTCTTTATAGAATAGCGGTGTCATTTCGATATTATTAAGAATTTTATTTATAGGGAAACTGTTTTGTACTGAGAAAGGTGGCAAGAAACTGCTCAACATGTAGGTACGGCGTGACATTTTTACCTCGGTTCTTTAATAATCCATAATTACTTAGCTCGTAGCCGTTTTTATAATAAGGTCGATATGCTACGGTAACTAGAAAACTTACGAAAATCTGTATTCTAGGTACGTGTTCATGTACCGAATGCCTGGGCTAGCAGAACATGTTTTGCAACTGGACAACCTGGTGATCTTCGACAAAGCGATGCTGGTACCGGGAAAAGACACTATTACTCAACAGGACATGGAGTGTTACAAATACTGGTTTGGAAAACAATGTAAGTTGTTAGTTGCATCATTGTTCAAGTATAAAATAATTTGAAAATCACTCTTGACAAGTGTGCCTTATTGGTTTGACTGAATAAATATTGAACCTGTAACTTATTTTCATAAATATTAACTGTAAGACTACTTATACCTATCTATAAATACTTAGTTACAAAAAAGAACTTAAGCAAAGATTTTTATTTATTTATTTATTTAATAGGACAACCAACAAGACATACACTGGAAGACAATCAATATTTACAACCTATGAGNCGTATTTAACTTAATCTAAGATCTATGAGTACAAGTATCTAGACATTTTGGAGACATTTTGACTGATTCGAATTTTCAATCATTAATTTCGTTGCAGTTGCCTTTACTCCTCCGGTGAACTACTACAGAGCGAACTTCGCTTACTGCTTGCCAGAGAAGCACGTCACCGATAAGGTGCCGATGCTCGTGATCCACGCTGCCAAAGACCCTTACATAGACCTATCAGTCCTGGACATCATGAAGCAAGAGTACTCAGACATTGAGACAACTGTCATCGAGGACTGCGGACATTTCCTCCAGCAAGAAGAACCAGCAAAAGTTAATAAGGTCATTAGGGAGTTTTTGGCTAAACGTCTTTGAATTTAACCTTTTAATAAATCATAAGTTACGCATTTTGTTTGTAAAGTCGCTTTTTATTAGGAACTTGTCAGTTAATAAAGTAGGTAGTTAAAAATAGTTTCTTTTGTTTGTCGCTTGACCTTGCGAAAGAGGGGTTAATCCGTTTACTTAAACATCATCGGCGTGATTTAATTATCTGTTAGTGTCTAAGCAGCCTAAAAAAAAATATGCCGTCGCCGCAGATACAAATTCACACAATTTGTATCTAATTACCTACGATAACACTGAATCTTACGTAAAATACCGTCTGTAAGCTCTAAGTATACAATAATTAACTAACTCACAACACTTCAGCGCTTTTCACTCATGTACGTGTTTAACCACTAGCTATAAGTACATATTTATTGAATGAATATAATTACATTACATTGGGTGTCAATTAGTAGTCCACTTGAATAGCAATAGACTGCATNTACTGCATAAAAACTGATTATTTTTTAATAAAATAAATGAAGAAACGAACTGAGACAGTTGAAACTGTTTGAATCTATTAATCTATTTTTATCAGACAATAATTTACAAAATTGACAGTTTCTATTTGTGCGGGCGGACTATAAATTATGTAAGCTAGGTGTCTTAAATAAACCTTAGGAAATAGTAAGTAGGAATTAAGTATTAGAAATAGATAAAAATATTATTGCTGCAAAAGCATCTCATGACGAACACTAAGTAATTAAATATTATTTGTCAGAAATGCTAGTCGCTTTGCTGTAGTTTATGATACAGCAATAAATGAATTTTATATTAATTTTATAATACAGTAGATATTTTAAATATTTTTATTACTTATGTTTTGCTTTTATAAATAAACGTTTCTCAATAAAATTGTGTTTTTATACAAGCTCCTAGCCCTAAAGGGTAGTAGGTATTACCTACGTATTAAAAGTATTTTATCTATTTTGTGTTGTATGATGATGATGAAAATGGATTTAAGTAGAAAAAACATGACATTTTCACTTCTTTTTCAGTTATGTTTAATTCGCATTGCATAATATGATGATGATGAAACAATAAAAATATCAAATTAACTACTTACCAGTAGGCGTGCTAAACTGCTGATGTTGTTAGGAAACTCGATCTCGATCCAAAAAGGCAGAGGGGTAAGTTATATTAATTACTAACATTGTAAGAGTTATTATTAATGACTTAACTTAATTAATATTGTTATATTCACTTGTTAAATAAATTATTTCTATTTTAAAAACTATTACTAAACTACGAAACAAAGCCCGCTTTTGCTTTCGTTTCCCGCGCAAGCAAAACCACAGACAAGGGTAAACACTTTTTTTTGCATTTCGCAAAGATAGGTCAAAGTTATCAAATTATGCTGCCTATATAATAGCCATGGTAAGTGCGAAAAGGCTTGGCTATTACATTACTTGAACTGAGTTTAACTCTCTACAAAAATTAATGATTTTAGTTAATTAATTTATAATTTTTGTATTGTAAATCATTCTCTTTTGTAAAAGTAATAATATTTATTTTGCAATAAATTTCTAAACTGAGTTCGTACGTGTTTATGCCATAGACTATCAAGGTCATGTCACACAACCGTGCAAATTTTAAGAGTTTACATGTAAAACTGCCAGATATTGTCTTTCTCTTTCTTACTCTAGGATTCTTAGGTCTATTTAATATTGGCAAGTAAATATTCTCGTCGAAATAGGTACATCTTAATTTGTCCACATAATAGGCCTTCTGAAATGAACAGTGTTGCCAGAAGGTTACTTTTGTAACCTTTTAGGTTACTTTTGAACTGCATTGGTTACTTTTAGGTTACACTAATGAAAAGGTTACTTTTAGGTGATTTTTCAGAAATTGTAGAATTAACTTTTACAGGTTATTCAGTAAAAAATATTAATAGTGACAATTTAAGAATTATGTCACAAACTGCATTTAAACATGAATTTGATTTATTTATTTATTATTTGTAAAAAAAAAAATAGTTTTAGCGAATGTTTTTCGATAATAAAATGCAAATCCAGGAAACGTTTTTATACGACCGGTCACTTTTCGGTCTTCATGGAATGGTCAAAGTTTCTAATTTAGGTAGAAGATAGAATGATCAATTGTATTCGTTTTCGCTCCCCCCCCCCCGTATGAAGGTTACTTTTCATTCAAAAAGGTTACATTTTTTTATATTTCTGGTAATTTCTGACAAGACCCGACTGGCAACACTGGAAATGAAAGCTAATGGCCGCCCGTCTCTAATTTCGAAACAGCTGATGTGCGTCTTTTAATTTTTCTCAGAGAATTCGTGCCGTTTATAAATTGTGTTAAATTAAATAGATGATACGGTACTCGGTTTATTATTTTGTGTTGAAATCAGGGTTCGTGTGATTGTGAATCTAAGTTGTTTGAGTTAAATTGAGTGTTTTCTACATTGCTGGCTTTTTCAGATGTCACTGACCATACAGCAAATCATTTTGGATGCAAAAAGACTCGCAGGGCGCCTCAAAGAAAGAGAAACTGAAGCGGATGCTCTACTAACTGAAACTCAAACTGCTTACAGACAGATCCACACCATGAAACAGGTAAACCGAAGCTGTCCGTCTTCTTGTTCAGCAGTCGATATTTAAATGAATTTACAAGATTTATTCTTTGAAATACTTTCGTTTTAAGTGAACCTTGCGATCAGTAATGTAATTATCTATGTAGTTAAATTGATCTACAATACATGTAATAAGGATTACTGCAGATATTTGTAAACAAAAGTACCTATCAATAACATTTATCAGCAAATTTTATACACGTCATGAATGAGTGTAGGCAGTCTAGTTTTGGGCAAACGTAAAAATAAGAAATAATAAGCTAAATAATTTGACATTATTACTAAAAAGATTTCAGATAATTACATGTAAATTTTATACATGGTGTTTTTTTTAGTACAAAGAAGAAGTGGACTCACTAAATGAAGCTTCCAGAGAAAGGCCAAGGGGCGCATTGATTGCAAGCATAGAAAGAGAGTCACGGTTGATGCGGGACGTTCAACGTGAGAATGGCGAGTTGCGGGCAGCTCTGGAAGATCACAGACGAGCACTGGAGTTGATAATGTCCAAATACCGTCAACACACAGAAAAGAGAATATGGGAGTCGAGGATAGACTTCACTGCTGCTGTCAATGAAAAACAACAAGAGGTAATCATTGTTACTTTTTATGATTTATCTGATAGTTTTCATGACTTTTTTGCCTCAAGGTCATAATTAGTAGGACTGTCTTCCATCCATACTTCATATAATTCTTCGTAATAAGAAAGTGAATTGAAGCAAATTTTAATATTTTTCCAGTTGATCCGTCAGCAAGCTGAGAGGATCAATGAGATGACAAGCATCATGTACAAAGCTGTTAACATGGATGAGAATGGTGACACCAGAAAAGAGGAAGAACTTTATCAACGGCTTATCACTGAAAATAAGGTAGGTACATAAGAGTTAACAAATTTTGCAGTGGATTGAAGTTGAGTTGTACTAGCCAGAATTTTATTAATCTGTAGACTTGGACAGGATATTTTTTTTTAATGTATTTTCTGCCCTATGGCAATCTGTTCGAAAACAATAAGCCACTTGTTTGGCTGGAGCTACATGTCCTGAGTTTTATGTTGTCTTCGAGAGCCAATCAATTGCTGATCTTATTCCAGCAAACTCTCTTCCTGGCTTTGGGCGAGACTGGGAATGCCTTGTCTTTTCAGTCGATTGTACTGTAGTCCACCTTCTCCACTTAAGGCCTGTGCGAGTTCGTTTGCATGAGTTTCCAGTTTCTCCTGGTATTTCAGGCTTGCCTGTACTATTTCCTCACGAACAGTGTTCATGCCTAGGTCAAGATACATGTACTTGTTGCTAATACATTGGGGTATGCCGAGCATGGTTCTAAGTGCTTTACTTTGAAATCTCTCCAGTATGTCGATGTTACTCTTGCTAGCTGTTCCCCATAACTGTATCCCATAAGTCCAGATAGGTTTCTGAGGACAGGATATTATGAACCTGTTTTCCCAATTCAATAAAAAAAATATTTTTACTTACCAGAGGATTTTTTCTTTTTTTTTACGGCAATGTCTAATAGTTTTTATTTAAACCATTACAGGGTTTGAGGGAGATGTTGGATTTGTCAAGGCGGTATGGATCAGACAGGGCATGCGCGGCCCCCACTGAGGACAAGGATGTGCAGACCGACGGGCCGCCGCTGACGGGCGCGTGACGGCCCGCGGTGGAGCCCTGCCGCCTCTGAACGCGCCGCCCTGCCGGCCTCCGCGCCGACGACACATATAGGTAGACTACACTTCACCTGTCCGCACACTTGAAACTCATCTTCTCACTCTGATCCACTCGTATAACCCGGACGGAGCTTCTCAGGTGTGCCGGAGAGGTGGGATGCAGACGAGTCACCGTTCCAGTATACAAACTTTACCTGTTACTCACAGATTTTGGATGTTAGGTCTTTTGACAGTATGCCTCTCATGTTTCACATTTGTAAACAAAATATTAATTGTGACAACATACAGCGAATGATTACAATGTAGTTAAAAAACTTTTTGTTTTGTTTCTCAATTGGTTGTATTGGATGTTGAATTATATAAATTTAAATATTAAAATGACATTTAAGTTAGATGCTAATGTTATCTTGTAATGGTAAAGTATATCACGTTTAGCCATCATTTATTAGTTATTCTTACAATGTATGAAACCAAATCACATAATGTGGCAGAAACTGTGATCTTTAGTGTTTGCTGTTAAGTTGATGTAAAATTTGACTGTGTTATGCTTCTGAAGTTTATAAATGTAAACACATTTCTTCATCTAATTGAAATAGCTTTTCAGTAGATTATTAGTCCTCACTCAAACATTTGCTCATTAAAACTGCAGGTTTAATAAAAACATAATACTCGGTAGTAAATAACTTACGTTTAATTCATTATAAACCACTTATCTCACTATGTAGGCTACTCGAATTTCAGATAGATTTAGTGAAATTATAGTTATTTTAAAATCAGACTACTATGGGACCCACAATGACGAAATAGAACCAGTTTCATAAGTAAATCATTACTTAGTTATCCAGTAACACCCTATCACACAAATACTAGTCAATTTTCAATAAACAGGTCACATAAATTTTTATTATTCATAACCACCATAACACATGTTGAATGTAACATAAATGAATTCATTGATTCATCTTTCGGGTGATTTGTGCAAAGCAACAATGTGTTAGGTACTAAAATATGCAATATTTTTTCATGCAATGTAGTGGGATCAGCTTTGAATGTTAGGAACAATCGTAGAATGGTGGATTGTAGTTGTTTGTAGTAGCAACCTTCGTAAATATAAATAATCATGCCAAAGGCATGCAAGCAATATGATTACGATACTGTTACATGTAAGTACTGTTGTTAAATTTTTTGAATATCTAGCTCTGCCGCAAGTCTCTCGTGATTGTCATCGTGGACATTTAATTATGAGTACAATTTCTAATTGAGGGACCGTATTAATGATAGTTATCATTCCTCCTAGAAACAGAGCAATGTCTTCGAGAATTTTCCATTATTTGGGATCTTTGCTAAAATTATCGAAGATTGCCTAGATAAGTATAAACTTTTAAAAAGATTTTATCATGTTTCTATGGAATAATGATCACTAGTATGAATGTAGTCACTTCGAAAGTTTCTTTGGTTTAAAATTGACTGTAGACCCATCACAAATATTTGATCTAAAATTTAGGGCATTTTTAATTAGTTAAATAATTTTAATGTGTCGGTTAATTTTCAATATTGAATAGAGATGAAACGGATATCCGGTAACTATCCGGTAGGCCGGATATCCGGCCTAAATTTACTATCCGGCCGGATACCGGATAGTAACTCACTATCCGGCCGGATACCGGATATTAAAAAACTATGACAATTTCCTCTTAAGAAAATGAAATACATTAATCTTTGAGGTAAATATCAATAAAATGGCTTATAATAATGACGGCTTTTATTTAAAGCCCAAAAAGTTACAAAAAAGCCATATTAAGGCCTTTCAAAAACCTAATTTCTTTTTCAAGACTATTCACTCTAATGACGAATACATAAATAGTAAATATCTGTTAATGTCGAACGAAATATTGCCAAAGAAAAAAGGCGATCTTTTTTTCACTGATGATCTGATGACATGATGCATGCAGTTCAGTCAGATTACGCAACAAGTAAACTAATTTAATTTTCGCTATTCAATTACACACTCACGATAGCAACCGAAATCTTCCGAATTGATCTGCCCCCTAGACAAGTGGCAAAATCTGACATTCTATTCGGACTGATTCGATTTTCGAAAAGTGTGACTAGTCTAGTCTATTAATATACCCACTGATCGCGTTTGAAGCACCTGTGCGGCGCTAAACTCGTCACGACATGCAACGAGACAATGGGCCAACTATCCGGCCGCCGGATATCCGGCTATCCGGCCTAGCAGCTGGCCGTTTCATCTCTAATATTGAACTTAAAAATTATAGTGTATGTGTACTATGTGTACTTTACTGTTGAATATTCTTTTCATACCACTTATTTCCTATCAATATGCACAATATAAAATACTTTGTTTTCACATAGAATAATTATTCATTTTCACCTTTGTTCTTTTTATTATATTCCAAAAGATATGTTGTTATTTACAAAGATTATGTCCCTTATTATTATCTAAAATACTACTTAATTATTTCTACTAATAGAGTAATAAAATCCAAACATTTATTAGAATATATTAAGGATAAAATTTACAAGATAAATCTAATTATAGTCAGTTTAGGTTTGTAATTTGTATTTTGATAGAATGTTTCTAAAGTGGCTCTGAAATTGTAAAATACCTTTACCTCATTAACATGATAGTTATTGTGCTTATGGGAGATATTAAAATGTATGTAGTAAATGAACATTAATTAAATATTAGATCAGATTGCTTCTTTAGTCTACTTGCATTTATGCATTCAATAATTGCAGTTGAAAATTATATAAAAATATAGTAAAATCAGTATGTATGAATAGATTATAGATGAATTATGTATTAAGTTCTAATGCAGTTGTCTACGCACAATCACAAAAACCTACTGAAAAATCTATGCATTTGCTACAGAATAACACAGATAAACTTTTATAATTTAATACTACCTACGTTGGTTACGAAATATACAAATTTTTAGATAAAATTAATAGTTGATACCTAGTTTTTTTCTGCTGTAGAACAACACATGTAGAGCGAAAAGATAAATGTTTAAAATGTAATTGATAAAATAAATATACAATACACATAAATTGATTGTTTTTATTGTTTCATCTCATAATATACTATGAATTATATGCAATTTGAGATGTTATTGGACCATAATATAGCTGTCCCACCTTGGTGTATGACAATGTATGAAATGAAAAAAATTGGGAGAGGAAATGCAAGGGAAGGAACTCGCAAAGATGACAATATAATGAATAAACCTGTCAGACATACTTATTCTTTAACTGTTAATGATAATCAAAAATATCCTACAAACTGATCTCTAGAAACACTAATTAGGTTTATGTTTAGGATATTAAAATTAAAGTCCGGCATAGAGTAAATCATTATAATTTGACAAATCTTACCATAATAATTATCATAGCAATCTCAGCTACACCATAACTTAATGGTGGATCCTTTCGGATCATACCTTTGTCTGTGTATACTCTGTGGGGAACTTGAAGGAGTGTTGTCCAAGAGCTTGGATGTTTGGCAGCAGCCCTGCATTGGGTATGATGTTCCAAGACAGGGTCAGTGTGACGTTGTTGTGACCTCTGTAAAAGATAATAATAATGTAAGCTTTATTAGTAGTATCAGTTATAGGTGTAATGGCTTTGTAAATTGATGATATTTCAGGGATTAGAGAAAGTAGGAAAGCTATTCCTATTACAGAAAAAGATTTTAATTTTTTAAGTGAGACAATCATGTATGGGATAGTTAGATTGTTGATGTTAAAAGTACAGTACCTCTCTAGATACCAACTTACAACAGGAAAAAAGGAATTTTACTACATTGCTGTATTGTAGAATTCCTCTCAAGATTATTTTATTGTAGACAGTCTGGTTTACTACTATTATACTGGACATATTGCATAGATTCAAGAGATTAAAAAAAACTTACTTTAAACCATTTCCATCATCCCAGAAATAGTATTTTGTGTTCATGTTTTTAAAGTCTAATACAGCATTTTCACCACGGAGGATAATTTTATCCCAAAGAACTACTTGATTGAGTTCATTGTTGGTTGTGATGTATTCAGCAGTTAGGTACAGGAACAGCTGCTTCACATTCCAGTTGAAGAGGTGGGAGAGATCAGTCTTCAGATCGAAAGTCAAAAATCCGAGATCATTCCTTTCACGTGAGGCGCCGTAATCTGGGACGTTTTTACTGTAAGATTATAACAAAGGGTCAGCAACGAAATAAACTGTTAATATCACAATAGAATATCGATTTATACTCACACGACCACCTTCACTGTGTTCATTTGTGCGGCAGTTCTGTAATCCACAGTTAATGTGGACAGAAAACATAAAAATGTGAGACATGCTAAGACACTTAACGTGTACGTTAGTATTGCATTGCCTCTTGTTAATACGGAGTACATTTTGTCACCGTTCAAATTGAATTTTGTTTAGTTATAGCACATTTAACACAATTTTCGCAAGTGAATATTTTACCACGGTGGCAACCAAACCACCATCAAATGTCATAAATGACAGCTGACTGACAGTAAGGACACGTCAGTTGTCAAAATAATATTTGTCTATGGTATCATAACGTTATCGTTATTATCCGATCTCGTTATTAATTTAAACCTTGCGAGTTGTGTGACTAGCATGATGAGCACTGAGGTCTGAGTGGGTGTAGTGTGCGTATGATTTTAACGTCTGGTAGCAATAAGCATTCAAGATAGACTTCAGACATAAGGCGAGAGTGAATATGCACTTACAGGGCAGATATGTAGGTACCATCCTAGACTGCAGTTCACTTAACACCAGGTGTGATTGCAACTAGTTAACTAGTTCTGAATAAAAGTTAACTAGAAGCCTTACCATTGATGCCAAGCTGGAGGCGCAAACAGTCTCCTTAGGTTTATTATTTAGCGACATACTCGTACTAATAACATGGATTATTTTCTAAGTTTCAGGTTAATGTTGAATAAATAGACACGTTTTACATTAAATAAATATATTTAGTTTATTAATACCAATAGGTCGTAGTGCCTCTACAGTCATAACTCCTATAACAGTCATGAAGACACTCCAAGATATAGCTGAGTTGAGAACCGCATTGTTGCATGGTATAGCTCCAGCTACAGAGCGACAGAAGCAAGCCCTTGTGCGGAAGGTTCCATTCACTTGATCATAACAGCCACTTGTGATGGCCATTCCCATGTTGTCCACGGCTCGAGTGCACATGTAGGTTGAATTTTCCGCTAAAAAATTCACATATTGATCAAATAAGTATTTTTTGCGACTCATTTTAATTCTGACATACCTGCTCTACTTCACAGATATAAAGGCTATAGTATCACAGTTAATAATATAAAGTGATTAATTCAGGTTAGAAACTACAAGAATAATTGCTTTCTGGGTGATGAAAAGGCTCTTTTAGCTAAGCTAATACACACCTTGTCCATTGAAATAGTAGGTGAACTGGGCACATACGTCGTTGCTGGCCAGCACGCAGGACGCGTGCTCCGCATAGTTCTGCCAAATGTAGTGCACGTCTGGCCAAGTGCCGTCCTCTGAAACATTTGAAATTGTAGGTATGTTGTACGTTACAAATACGAAGAAAATTCGAAAATTTCACCTAAAATAAGTAACTGTCTCATTTACAAACACTTATGTAGGATTGGTAATTTGTTGAAAGTAACGAAGAAATTAGTTAAGTTAAACCTGACTAAGTATTATTATAAAAAATAATAACGATTTGCTGACAACACTTACCAGAGACTACAAGTGGTTCTCTGCAAGGTATACCGCTGGCTAGCCTGGTTGCGTCCTGGCATGTGGCGTTCCTAAAAATACTCTCATTGGAGTACCGAGGTCCTAGCCAGGTGAAGTCGAAGCACCGAGGCACGGGGGTTTGAGCCACTGCTATACAGGCACCTGCATGAATTAGAGTTTGATTCAGATACATAAACCTCATTTTATGCCGAGTCATTTTTAAATGTAAATAGGTAGGAAGGTGCTGCATGCACGTTTTTACCTATCGGTCAATATGTAAATCGATATGGAGGCCTATGCTCAGCAGTGGATTTCTTATGACTATGATGAGTCATTTTTAAGAAGCATTCATTATTGGCAAACAAGACTTCGAAACTAATGATCATTCTCGATAAAGTGTATCAGTGTATTATCATTCATAGATCTTTTGTGTCGACTGTATTAAAAGTAGGTACAGTTATTTTTGTCTTAGCTTCTATTATATCAGGATACAGGACAGGAGGACAGGATAAAATATGTACAACAAAGGGCCACCAAATGAAGATGCCCGTTACTTGGGCTCTATTTTGTGAATACCTGAGGCTGAGGTAGTTTACGTCCACATTTCATACCTTGAAATGTGGACGCGAATCGTCATTCGACTACTAGGGACCTAATCGATGAAGAAGTAGCCCTAAATTAAGATTGTGGTTGGTTAGACATTCCTAAGTTTTTTTCCAAGCTATTTGTCTGGTAAGCTAAAATATAAATACACTCGCGAGCAAAAGTATGGAATCACTTACATGAAGTTGTTTCCACGCGATCTTGTGTACTAACGAATTTGTTAGTAACAAAAAAAGTAGCACCATTTTAAAGATTAAACTTTTAGCTTTATATTGATACCAAATTTATTTAAATCACACCAGTATTTAAAAAGATATCCCGGCTGATGTGAAGAAGTAAGGAAAAAGACATGTATCAACTGTTTGATACGTCGCGAGTTGCGGCCTATTTACCCCCCATAAAAGCAAGTGTTTTCGGATTTTTGCTTTCACACGTTGATCCATACACATCTCCGCTTCTTTTGACACTTTACCTGGGATTCTACACCTTCAGAAGCAGCACAAATCGTTGCACTATTGCAAGAAGTGCTCAGCCAGCGGGCTGTCGCACGTCAGTTCCACATAAGCCAGTCCTGGGTTTCGAAAGTTTTAAGGCGCTTTCGGGAGACTTGTGGCTTTATCCCGAGACCAAGTTCTGAACATTGCCGGTGCACATCGCAGAGGGAAAACCGTTTTTTCATGTCAACCTCTCTATGAAATCGTCATTTGACTGGTATCGACGTCCAGCAAGAGCTCAGAAATGTTCGTAGGATAGCTGTTAGCGAGTGGACAGTTCGTCTAAGATATGAGCAATAAAATTTGACTCCAAAAAGGCCTGCCACAGGCTGGAAACTGACGGCAGGTCACCGACAAGCACGCTTTCAATTAGCTCGCACTCGGAAGGCGAGTTTTGTTTTCCGATTAATGCAGACTGTTTTTGCAGTGCAGCAGCCGAAGAGGTCGGGTCTATAGACGGCCTGGGGAGCGATTTGTGCAGTGCTGGTTCGCTAAAACATTGGCTTATGGGGGTGGCTTGCTCGACTTCCCATCGAGATGTGCAAATTGAAAGCGTGCTTATCGGTGACCTGCCGTCAATTTCAAGCCTGTGGCAGGCCTTTTTGGAGTCGAATTCTATTGTTTATTTCTTAGAAGAACTGTCCACTTGCTAACAGCTATCCTACGAACATTTTTGAGCTCTTGCTGGACGTCGATACCAGTCAAATGACGATTTCGTAGAGAAGTTGACATGAAAAAACGGTTTTCCCTCTGCGATGTGCACCGGCAATGTTCAGAACTTGGTCTCGGGATAAAGCCACCAGTCTCCCGAAAGCGTCTTAAAACTTTCGAAACCCAGGACTGGCATATGTGGCGCTGACGTGCGACAGCCCGCTGGCTGAGCCCTTCTTGCAATAGTGCAACGATTTGTGCTGCTTCTGAAGGTGTAGAATCCAAGGTAAATTGTCAAAAGAAGCGGAGATGTGTATGGATCAACGTGTGAAAGCAAAAATCTGAAAACACTTGCTTTTATGGGGGGTAAATAGGCCGCAACTCGCGACGTATCAAACAGTTGATACATGTCTTTTTCCTTACTTCTCCACATCAGCCGCGATATCTTTTTAAATACTGGTGTGATTTAAATAAATTTGGTATCAATTTAAAGCTAAAAGTTTAATCTTTAAAATGGTGCTACTTTTTTTGTAACTAACAAATTGGTTAGTACACAAGATCGCGTGGAAACAACTTCATGTAAGTGATTCCATACTTTTGCTCGCAAGTGTAGTAAATGTAGGTACTTAGGTGGTAAATACTTACAGGTGGCAAGGATAGCAGCTACAACTATGTCGTTTCGATGCATTTTCCTCCAAGAATCATTAGTGTTTTAAATTTTAATTACACAATTAAATACGTTTACACTGCACAATTTCAGTACTTTACCGTGTATCACTGAAGTATTTGTGTGACGTACTTTATTTGTTATCATTTTCTTTGTAATCGAGCTGTAGATATAATCGGCTGTATTCATTACTGTCCGCTATCAAATTAACAATTGTAATGATTTTGTGTGATAAGATAAGTAATGAGTTCCTTCCTTGACTGGGCAATATAATTTTATTTTCACTTTGTTCTGCTGAAATAATCCTCTGTTTATATAAAAAGTCTATTTTGTTCTACGTTAATTTTACTATAACATTGAACATAATGTTAGCTAGACCAGGAATCGAATCCAAAGTCCAAACCTCTGCAAAGAATTCAACACCATTCCGCCATTAATCCATGGTCGCATTAGGATTATCAGTCGTTGAGTCGTATTACTAGATTATCCGGATAGATTGGTCCATCATAACCGCATTATTCCACTTTTATTTTTTGAATTTATTCAGTTACACGTTCTATAAAGTAGCACATTGTGAATTTGCATGGCGGTGTAGCAGGTGGATCGGGCGCTGGTAGAATGAAATTATTCCCCATTCGCCATCGGACGCTAAGCCGATTTCGTCTAACCTCGTTCAATCAGTGCGCGAGCCGCCCGTTCGCGCAGATTTGTGGCACGACAGATATGTCCGCCATTTTAAAATATGTCCGCTTTTGAAATGGACTCCATCGTTTAGATCTAACAATCTGAGGTACGGTTGATAAAAATAAAATTTTCAATTTTTGAAGATTTTCAACTATTATATTTTTCAAATTTGTTTTGAATATATTTAACAGCAAGTACACAAACGCTGAACTAAGTTACCTCACCATCCTCTGGTCATCAGCCCGTTCTAATTCTACATGTACTTAATTAGTGACATGATTATTTAAATTACGGACTTACATTTTCTTCTTCTTCTATCGAATGGATTGTGACTGAGCTCACAAATTTATGTTAGTCTTAGGCAGTTAAACCTTTTATTATATTATTGTTATAGCCACGATCTACAGCTTGGCTTCCAATGAAATTCAACCAGTGAAGGTTGAGTAGCCCCGGGGATTAGCCGTCTTAGATCCAGCAACGAATTGAATCAGAAGAATATAGGAGGAGTTTGAAATACATATATCGACTTCCCCCCGATGCAAAGAGCGAATCTGAAATAGTATTAAACTCTCTAAAGAATAAGATTAATTATTATTATACATCTCAGAAAAAGGATAACAATCAGAAGTCAACTTCTTTGTAAGTTTAGAATTGTTAAGTCTATGTTCCCAAATTAGAATGTAAAACAAAGAAAAGCATAGAGCCGACTCTACCGATGATATCGAAACGATTTTTAAGCCGGCTTTATCGTGAATTTTTGATTGGGAAACGGACTTAGCTGAAGCAGTTCGCCTTCGTATGGATAGCATTAAATTCAACTAGTAATCTTAATAGTAGTAATTCTTGGTATGTATATCACTCAGCATAGAGCTTAGTGGTTTAAAAATACGTCAATTTTAAGAATTCCGAGGATGCTCTTAATCTTAACTCTATCGTGTCAGAAAATTTAGTTAAGGTTTCAAACCTTTTTTGATGTCTAGGTACCATCCAAACATCATAGAATTGACTGTTTGTCTCTGACTCTATCAGGAAGAGGTTCCCTGATGAGCAATGCAGTATGACTATAATTTTAGAAGCGTCAATAAAATTTGAGAGACGCCCGAGGCGCGTGGCCTCGCGAAGCTAGGCTGTCATACGCAGACAGGGTTTAGAAATAGGTACGGAGTCTGACCAAAACAGATGTTCATTATTGACTGTTTGATAGCTTTATAGGCAGTCACTTTTAAATCATTCGATTCTAAATAGGTATACTTACTAATGTGTTTAGGCATCAAGAATCTGCTTTTATAACAGGACTGTAACCTAGTTTGTAGATTAGGATGCCAATATTATTGCTTAAACTTTTCATAGCAAATTATACATACAGTAGAGCTGGTCTGAAATTGCTGATGCTCATTTGCTTTCCAAAGCAATCGATTAAGAACCTAAATCAAGATTTTTAAAACCAACATGATTGGTACGACGTGTCTAGAACTACACTGCAAAACATTGTTTACAGCCATTGCAAGGAGATTTGCACGAATAAAACTTATCACTCGAGGCGACGGCGACAAATTTATACATCGCAAACAATCACCATTTATCAAGCTAAGTTTCCAGTGTGAAAAATGCTCACATAAACCCGCAAGCAAACTTTAATACGGCTCTTTGGAGTAGACAGACCGCAGCAGGGCTGGAATCAGAGAGTTCTAGTACCTAGACTAAACTAGAAATCCTTATTGCAGGCATTTAAAACCTTGTGTATTAAGTAAAAATTATACCTCTATTACACCTCTTCTGATTACTTATTGTATGTAGTTGCTTTACGCATCTTTTCCGTATGATGGCAGATGTAACTTTCTGCATGCTGATGTGGTGAAGTTAACGAAACGGTGTGCTGAATAACTTTCCAAAAGTGATTGATTTAGTATTGCTTTTTAAGGCTTATTGTATTTATGTATTCATTTTGTATTAGGTAAATTCATTGTGTGTTCGGTTTTCATACACTAAGCACATTTTATTCAAATAGCTATGAGTACATACTACTTGATGCCTTGGTAGCTACTTGCTAATATACCTATGTACCTATAATATAGCCCTTTATTCATTCAGATCTATAGCTACTTGCTACCTAGGCTAAGTATCATTTTTGGTCGAGAGATTCTGGCAATTCCTTGGCTACGACTCTGGAAATTGTTTTGTTTATCTGCAATTCCTCATCATGTTTACTTGTGCTTGTAGATCCCTATCTTTGGGTAGATTTATTGCTAATAACGCGTCTTTTATTAATACTAGTATCTGACCATATTTTATAATCTTAGAACCTAATATAAAAGGGAGACATACTTAAGCGTGTAAATGTAGTAAGATAAGAATTAAATAGACTGAGTGACATAGAGCCAAGTTTAGCTTTGTAACCATTGTGCCTTGCAACCTGTTAATAACATTATTATTTTAATTTATAAATACTGGTGGTATGAATTGAATTAAGCTTTAAGATCTATGAGCTTGAATATTTTTTCTGAAGAAAACAAATTGAAAAGGATCCGAAGCAATAAAACTTTAATCTTACATCTGACTCTCAGCGAATCTTAATAATTCAAGGAGAAAAATCTAAGATTAACATTTACTTATTAAGTTTACAAAACAGCTTCCATTAATCTTAGTTTCATAACTTGAGCCTCTTTGTTTCTTTCGGCGCCCTCAGTATGAAATGGTTTTAATTAAGATATCATGGGAAATATACCTCTCAAGTCTGTGAAATATTACGCGCAGGATCTGCTCTAAATTGGATATTTTTCTTTGTGAATGGCAATAATTTTATTACGTTTTGTAATCTATTCCGATATTAAAGTCCTCCATAACATTGTCTTTATGATTTTCGCTTTCCGAATCTTTTATCAGATCCAAGACAGGCTACTCCTAAACTAACGTATATTTGTAAACAATTTAATCAGTGTAGTGTTTTTGTGGATATAAACTTCACTACAATACGAACCTTTTAAGCGAATACCTATTACGTACCTACTCACCAGGATTAGAAGAAAAAGGAAAATGTATTGAAAAATGGGGAGATTTCTTATGCTAGTAATGGTAAATAAAGCACAGATATAATTTCATTTTATATTTTAAAATTATACAACCCATTTGCATTTTTACCGCACTTATAAAAATGTATCAAATATACTTAGGTAGGTACAAATTACGTCATCTAAATTTATCTACAATTTTATCTAATTACAAAATATTTATAATTTTCTCTATATACAATAAACTAAGTATTTATAAATAACATTATTTACAAAGCTCTAATCGATTACAAAGTGAATGGCAGTGTAATGAGTACATTTATTTGCCGTCAGCAAGCATCTCCCTCCGCGGTTGAGAAACATGCAACACTGCACAGCTCTCGACTCGGAAAACTTTAGAAGAAATACAACTTTAGAGTTTTCGTGTTTCCACAAAGGCTATAAATCCTAACATTCTGTTGCTTTCGCACAGTTTACAGCTCACCCACTCGCAATATAGTTTATCACGTGCACTACAATAACGCATTCACATTGAACAGTTTCCATTTTCGCGTAAAACTTTTGAGTTATATTTCACAATTTACTGACGTCCAGCCACATCATGTAAAACACTTAACCTACGTAAGGGAAGGGAGCGAACGGCGCAGGGAAATAGCCCGGGAATCCGGCGCTCGCCTGCACCGGGATTGATGACGTCACGTACGACGTCAGCACCGTTGGCACGACCTTTGTCGTGAATAATGTGGTGTACACAGTCTTCGCACCGAATGTCAATTTCAAAATTTGACTATCGGTAGCTGTGACTTCAGTATTCATCACGACAGGGGTCGAAGTAACGGTGAACTGCTGCTGAGGGAAAAGCGGGTTGATGGGTTGAAGCGGCAGAGCAGGCAGGCTACTTGTACCAATTTCAAATTCCGTTTTCGTGATTGTAGCCACAGGTCTGGATATGGTACTTTGAATAGTATTTTTGCCGTCAAATATAGGGATAACGTGAGATTCGTACACCGTTTCATATTTCAAGACTGGTTTTGAGGTGGTGACCACGTTAGGTATCTGAGCGGCCGCTGCTGGGTTCAAGAGACGCAGGAGTGCCAGTTGTTGTGCCTGCTCTGGCGTCAAAGCTGGAGTAGGAGGAGTTGGTGCTTCGGTCACTTGGTTATTCTTATTTTGTCCATGTGCTTTCTTAAGCCTTAAATGATTATCAGGGACACCATATTTGTCTACTTCAGCCAAGTCGAATTCGGATCCTACATTAGCCAAATCTAAGTCTGGTGGGAAGACACGTCTAAGAACTCCATCTTCGTCTTCATTACTGTCTCCAAAATCTAATTCCAAATGCAATTCAGATCCAGCCTCATCAAGGCGGCTGTTAAATTCCTTCAATGTCTTGCTGGGTATGAATTGGAAGAAGTCCATAGGTGGCAAAGTTTTCGTCGCTGTTACGAACCTTGTTATTTGATATGTTTGTATGAA